CTCGTGGCTGGTTGACTCATTTGTTAGTGGCAGAGCTAGTACTAGTGGCGTGTTGGCTAGTTGGTTAGGAGTAGAGCTAGTACTAGTGGCGTGTTGGCTAGTTGGTTAGGGATAGAGCTAGTACTAGTGGCGTGTTGGCTAGTTGGTTAGGGGTAGAGCTAGTACTAGTGGCGTGGTGGCTAGTTGGTTAGTGGTAGAGCTAGTACTAGTGGCGTGGTGGCTAGTTGGTTAGGGGTAGAGCTAGTACTAGTGGCGTGTTGGCTAGTTGGTTAGTGGTAGAGCTAGTACTAGTGGCGTGTTCGCTAGTTGGTTAGGGGTAGAGCTAGTACTAGTGGCCTGTTGGCTAGTTGGTTAGGGGTAGAGCTAGTACTAGTGGCGTGTTGGCTAGTTGGTTAGTGGTAGAGCTAGTACTAGTGGCGTGTTGGCTAGTTGGTTAGTGGTAGAGCTAGTACTAGTGGCTTGTTGGCTAGTTGGTTAGTGGTAGAGCTAGTACTAGTGGCTTGTTGGCTAGTTGGTTAGTGGTAGAGCTAGTACTAGTGGCGTGGTGGCTAGTTGGTTAGTGGTTATAGGTAGAGCTAGTACTAGTGGCTAGTTGGTTAGTGGTTATAGGTAGAGCGAGTACTAGTAGATGGTGGTCTCTCAAGGGCAACCACCGTGACATTTCTACAAAGAAAGTGCTGTATTTGCTTTATCCACCCTTGAGCGATGATGGACTAAGCTGGCCTGGATACAACAGCAAATACTTTTTTGAATGCTGTGTCCGCAGTGATGCACAAGCACGAAAGCACAAGGCGTCAACACATTCGTCAAATATATAATTGGCGACGTTTCAGGCAATGGCCCTTTGTCAGATCACACGAGGAAGGGCCACAAGCGACGATTGAGGCAACGATCGTTTTGCGGATTGCGGCGGTTCGCGGTGGCGAGCAGCAGGGAGCTGTGCAGCAAATGGCACCAATGTTGTACGGTGTTGTCATTCTATGCTGCTCCACGCATCCATGCTCCCGCGGTCTTCACTAACCCCGCACGGGCAAGCGCGACGGTGAGGTATGGTGAGGCGAGGGATCAAATAACCCCCACGATCGCGACGGCGTGGCGAGGGCCCTCATCCAGCGGTGGATCGGCGATGCAATGTTCACAGGGCAGCATCGAGCCATCGTCATCCAACGGCGCTGTGAGAGAATACAATCATCGGTTGACCGACGAAATCACCCAAGCAGAGGATCTGCCCGTTTCTGGAAGAAAGTGTGGGTGAATCTTGACTTAAAGCTTTCGTGACTGCAGGAATTCATATTCTTTGGGTCTTTCGGTAAAGCCACGTAGATGGGGTTCAAAAGAAAATAACAAAAAAACAAAAACGACGACGTTTTGATCGCGACGCAAGAATGTAAACAGTGCCGGTGCAGCGCCGCTTTGTGGACGAGCGGGAGAAGTCTTCTTTGGTTCTTTCGGTAAAGTCACCACGTAGAATGATAATAAAATAATAAATTGATAAAATAAAATAACACAATAATATTCTCACGACGTTTCGGCCACAACACAAGCGGCCTTCATCAGGTGAAGGGGGCGAGACTGTCTGGTAGGACAGCGCTGGAGTGAAAGAGCCACGTTCGGATCACGGCCTTTAAGCTGTGTGAGAGGAACAAAGCGCCCTCAAATTTCAGCCCCACGGATAGCTTAGAGTCGCGGCATCTCTTCAGAAAGGTGAGAGACTCGATTAGTTGAGCCTTCTTATCCCGAAGTCTATTGAATGATCTTAAGGATGTGTGGAATCCCTCCCCGTAGAGGCGGTTAAATTTCGATTTAAAGCTTTCGTGACTGCAATGATTCATCTTCTTTGGTTCTTTCGGTAAAGTCACCACGTAGAATGATAATAAAATAATAAATTGATAAAATAAAATAACACAATAATATTCTCACGACGTTTCGGCCACAACAGTGGGAGATGGTGAGCACGCGTGTTCGGGATGAGTCGATATATATTTTTACGATTTTAACACTCAGGATAAATGCATCAAATCATGCGTGGGAAGCATACGCTATTGTCGATTAATGATACATTTTCATGCAGGTTTTTTATTTTCTTATTAAAAACTTGTCATTCAGAAAACATTTTTAGAACTTATGCAATAATCGATTCATATAAATATTATTATATTGACTTAAAGCTTTCGTGACTGCAGGAATTCATATTCTTTGGGTATTTCGGTAAATTCACGTAGATAGGTTCAAACTAAATTAAATAACAAAAAACTACGACGTTTCGATCGCAACATAAGCGGCCGTCATCATCACCATTGATGGATGCAAATAATCTTTTCAAAAATCGATTAATCAAACAAATTATCTATAATCTACTCATCACCATTCATCGATACAAATAATAGAATAAATTATCACTTTTTTGTGCAATTTATTTATTTCTTTACTCATTCTTTTTTATTTTGCCTTGAAGTATGCTTAATCGTAGCTATACAGCGAGGGAAAAAAATATTTGATCCCCTGTTGATTTTGTACGTTTGCCCACTGACAAAGAAATTATCAGTCTTTAGTTTTAATGGTATGTTTATTTGAACAGTGAGAGACAGAATAACAACAACAAAATCCAGAAAATCGCATGTCAAAAATGTTATAAATTGATTTGCATTTTAATGAGGGAAATAAGTATTTGAACCCTCTGCAAAACATGACTTAGTACTTGGTGGCAAAACCCTTGTTGGCAATCACAGAGGTCAGACGTTTCTTGTAGTTGGCCACCAGGTTTGCACATATCTCAGGAGGGATGTTGTCCCACTCCTCTTTGCAGATCTTCCCCAAGTCATTAAGGTTTCGAGGCTGACGTTTGGCATCTCGAACCTTCAGCTCCCTCCACAGATTTTCTATGGGATTAAGGTCTGGAGACTGGCTAGGCCACTCCAGGACCTTAATGTGCTTCTTCTTGAGCCACTCCTTTGTTGCCTTGGCCGTGTGTTTTGGGTCATTGTCATGCTGGAATACCCATCCACGACCCATTTTCAATGCCCTGGCTGAGGGAAGGAGGTTCTCACCCAAGATTTGACGGTACATGGCCCCGTCCATCGTCCCTTTGATGCGGTGAAGTTGTCCTGTCCCCTTAGCAGAAAAACACCCCCAAAGCATAATGTTTCCACCTCCATGTTTGACGGTGGAGATGGTGTTCTTGTGGTCATAGGCAGCATTCCTCCTCCTCCAAACACGGCGAGTTGAGTTGATGCCAAAGAGCTCCATTTTGGTTTCATCTGACCACAACACTTTCACCCAGTTGTCCTCTGAATCATTCAGATGTTCATAGGCAAACTTCAGACGGGCATGTATATGTGCTTTCTTGAGCAGGGGGACCTTGTGGGCACTGCAGGATTTCAGTCCTTCACGGCGTAGTGTGTTACCAATTGTTTTCTTGGTGACTATGGTCCCAGCTGCCTTGAGATCATTGTCAAGATCCTCTCGTGTAGTTCTGGGCTAATTCCTCACCGTTCTCATGATCATTGCAACTCCACGAGGTGAGATCTTGCATGAAGCCCCAGGCCGAGGGAGATTGACAGTTCTTTTGTGTTTCTTCCATTTACGAATAATCACACCAACTGTTGTCACCTTCTCACCAAGCTGCTTGGCAATGGTCGTGTAGCCCATTCCAGCCTTGTGTAGGTCTACAATCTCGTCCCTGACATCCTTGGAGAGCTCTTTGGTCTTGGCCATGGTGGAGAGTTTGGAATCTGATTGATTGATTGATTGCTTCTGTAGACAGGTGTCTTTTATACAGGTAACAAGCTGAGATTAGGAGCGCTCCCTTTAAGAGTGTGCTCCTAATCTCAGCTCGTTTCCTGTATAAAAGACACCTGGGAGCCAGAAATCTTTCTGATTGAGAGGGGGTCAAATACTTATTTCCCTCATTAAAATGCAAATCAATTTAAAACATTTTTGACATGCGTTTTTCTGGATTTTGTTATTCTGTCTCTCACTGTTCAAATAAACCTACCATTGAAATTATATACTGATCATTTCTTTGTCAGTGGGCAAACGTACAAAATCAGCAGGGGTTCAAATACTTCTTTCCCTCACTGTATGTAGGATGTGGTCCTCATATATAATTAATGGGGTGCCACGGTGGCTAGGAGATGTTAACTACCTCGCCTGGTATATAGGAGTGTGTGGGTTCGATCCCAATCCCGACCCCGACGCCTGCTGCTGTACATTTGGAGTTTACATGTCTCTCTCCCCGTGGTCGCATGGATTTTGCTCCGTGCCCTCTGGGTTTCCTCCCTCTACACATTTTAGAATCAACATCATGCGTTCTGGAGTAATTGGCTGCTATACATTTCCGAGTGATGAGAAGCCACTTCATTTTAGGCTATCATTTGTGGCCAGGTCGCCTCTGAAACAGGAGCGGTGTAGCTCAACGGGCCTTACCTGGTAAACATCTAAAATAGTTGATCGGTTTTTTTTTATATAATGTACCGATGACAACTCTGAACTCCCCCACCAGTGGTCAAACCACGTGCGCCGCCTAGCGGCTCCCGCGTGAAGGCCCGGAGCCCACGTGCGCGTGATCCCCCATTGCGCGGGGACTGGGGCACTCGCCCCATGTTAAACATCGTTTCTGTGGTGGTGATGGTGGGTGAGGTGGTGGTGGTGGGTGAGCTGGTGGTGGTGAGCGGTTCGCGCGCTCTGCGCTACGAAACCGACTACGACCCGAGTTCGATTACCGCTCACGGCTCAACCATCGGTGACGATTATCTGAACCAGTTCTGGGCCTCCCCTAGGTCGACTCGGCCTCAAATTAGTACCTGGTGCGGTGTATATAAAACATCGCCACCGGGAGAGACAAAGGCGACCGGGCGTGGTGGTGTTGGCCAACGCACCCAACTCGCATGCCACAGTGCCGGCCTTCATGGGTGCTGCTGCTACTGGCTAACAGCACTTGCCCCAACAGTCTGTTAAGGCTTTACGGGGGATCTTTGTCTTTGTGTGTGTGTGTGAGCAAGGGAGCTGCATTGGCAAGGTGGCGAGTCACAGTTCTCTCAAGCGGTCTGACCAGAGCCAGAGAGAGTCACGGAGAGAGAGAGACGAGGATGGAGAAGACGGCTCAACTAACTCTTACTACCAGCACCTCCGTGTATCAACAATCACACCAAGCGTCGTGTCTCTGTACAGGAGCACAATAACATTGACAGCTGACGATAATTCGTGTTCTGTCCACTGCTGGATGAAGGCCTCTCCCACGGACGCTGTCGCTGGCCTGGCTATACGGGGGATCTTTGGTGGGGTGGGGGGGGGGGAATTTTTGGTGAGGGGGGGGGGATCTGATCTGTGGTGGTGTGGTGGAATCTGTGGTGGTGGTATTTGTGGTGGTGTGGTTGATACTGTGGTGGTGTGGTTAAATTTGTGGTGGTGTGGTGGGATCTGTGGTGGTGTGGTGGGATCTGTGGTGGTGTGGTAGAATCTGTGGTGGTGTGAAGGTATTTGTGGTGGTGTGGTTGCTACTGTGGTGGTGTGGTTGAATTTGTGGTGGTGTCGTGGGATCTGTGGTGGAGTAGTTGGGTCTGTGGTGGTGTGGTTAGGTCTGTGGTGGTGTGATGGGATCTGTGGTGGTGTGGTGGGATCTGTGGTGGTGTGGTGGGATCTGTGGTGGTGTAGTTGGGTCTGTGGTGGTGTGGTTAGGTCTGTGGTGGTGTGATGGGATCTGTGGCGGTGTGGTGGGACCTGTGGTGGTGTGGTTGAGATCTGTGGTGGTGTGGTGGGATCTGTGGTGGTGTAGTGGGATCTGTGTGGTGGTCTCTGTGGTGGTGTAGGTCTGTGGTGGTGTGGTGGGACCTGTGGTGGTGTGGGTCTGTGGTGGTGTGGTGGCCTCTGTGGTGGTGTGGTTGAGTCTGTGGTGTTGTGATGGGATCTGTGGTGGTGTAGGGGGATCTGTGGTGGTGTGGTGGAGTCTGTGGTGGTGTGGTGGTGTTTGTGGTGGTGTGGGTGCTACTGTGGTGGTCTGGTTGAATTTGTGGTGGTGTGGTGGGATCTGTGGTGGTGTGGGGGAATCCGTGGTGGTGTGGTGGGATCTGTGGTGGTGTGGTGGGATCTGTGGTGGTGTAGTTGGTTCTGTGGTGGTGTGGTTAGGTCTGTGGTGGTGTGGTGGGATCTGTGGTGGTGTGGTGGGATCTGTGGTGGTGTAGTTGGGTCTGTGGTAGTGTGGTTGGGTCTGTGGTGGTGTGGTGGGATCTGTGGTGGTGTGGTGGGATCTGTGGGGGTGTGGTGGTATCTGTGGTGGTGTGGTGGAATCTGTGGTGGTGTGGTTGAGTCTGTGGTGGTTTGGTGGGATCTGTGGTGGTGTAGTGGTCTCTGTGGTGGTGTGGGTCTGTGGTGGTGGTGTGTTTCTGTGGTGGTGTGGTGGGACCTGTGGTAGTGTGGGTCTGTGGTGGTGTGGTGGCCTCTGTGGTGGTGTGGTTGAGTCTGTGGTGGTGTGATGGGATCTGTGGTGGTGTAGGGGGATCTGTGGTGGTGTGGTGGTGTGGGTCTGTGGTGGTGTGGTGGCCTCTGTGGTGGTGTGGTTGAGTCTGTGGTGGTGTGATGGGATCTGTGGTGGTGTAGGGGGATCTGTGGTGGTGTGGTGGAATCTGTGGTGTTGTGGTGGTGTTTGTGGTGGTGTGGTTGCTACTGTGGTGGTCTGGTTGAATTTGTGGTGGTGTGGTGGGATCTGTGGTGGTGTGGGGGGATCTGTGGTGGTGTGGTGGGATCTGTGGTGGTGTGGTGGGATCTGTGGTGGTGTAGTTGGGTCTGTGGTGGTGTGGTTAGGTCTGTGGTGGTGTGGTGGGATCTGTGGGGGTGTGGTGGTATCTGTGGTGGTGTGGTGGTATCTGTGGTGGTGTGGTGGAATCTGTGGTGGTGTGGTTGGGTATGTGGTGGTTTGGTGGGATCTGTGGGGGTGTGGTGGAATCTGTGGTGGTGTGGTTCTGTGTTGGTGGTGTGTTTCTGTGGTGGTGTGGTGGGACCTGTGGTGGTGTGTTTCTGTGGTGGTGTGGTGGGACCTGTGGTGGTGTGGTGGGACCTGTGGTGGTGTGGTTCTGTGGTGGTGTGGTGGGACCTGTGGTGGTGTGGTGGGACCTGTGGTGGTGTGGTTCTGTGGTGGTGTGGGACCTGTGGTGGGACCTGTGGTGGGACCTGTGGTGGTGTGGTTCTGTGGCGGTGTGGTGGGACCTGTGGTGGGACCTGTGGTGGGACCTGTGGTGGGACCTGTGGTGGTGTGGTTCTGTGGTGGTGTGGTGGGACCTGTGGTGATGTGGTGGGACCTGTGGTGGGACCTGTGGTGGTGTGGTTCTGTGGTGTGGTGGGACCTGTGGTGGTGTCTGCTGGAGGCTTCACCGGTGCCGCGTGACGTCACCGCGAGCTGAAGCCGCCCCCAGAATCCAAGAGGGCGGCGGGGACGAGGCCTAGCGTGGTGATAGCCGGCCGGGGCGGGCTGGCAGGCTTACTGCCACCGCTGTCTCTCTCGTCATACAGTTAGAACGCGTTACAGGGGGTTGTTTTATCGTTTTATTCTCAAAGCTGAAGGTTCTTAAACGATTTTAAAGTTCCGACGTCCGGGCGATGACGGGGGAGGCCGCGGAGGCGCCCACACCGACCGCGCCAGCGGACGAGTGGGTGAGTCCCGGCGGCCGCTGCTCAGCTGCTACAACAACAACCGCCATTCACTACCACCAACACCACCACCAACACCCTACCACCAACACCACCACCACCCTCACCACCAACACCACCACCCCCTCACCACCACCCCCTCACCACCACCACACCCTCACCACCACCACTACCCTCACCACCAACACCACCACCACCAACACCCTCACCACCACACCCTCACCACCTCCACTACCCTCACCACCCTCACCACCACCAACACCCTCACCACCAACACCACTACCCTCACCACCCTCACCACCACCCTCACCACCAACACCACCACCCTCACCACCACCACTACCCTCACCACCACCACACCCTCACCACCACCACTACCCTCACCACCCTCACCACCAACACCCTCACCACCCTCACCACCAACACCCTCACCACCCTCACCACCACCCTCACCACCAATACCACCACCCTCACCACCACCACTACCCTCACCACCACACCCTCACCACCACCACTACCCTCACCACCAACACCACCACCACCACCCTCGCCACCAACACCACCACCACCACCCTCGCCACCAACACCACCACCACCACCCTCGCCACCAACACCACCACCCTCACCACCACCCTCACTACCAACACCACCACCACCCCGTTCACCCTCCGTTAGCGAGCGGCGTCCAGGAGATGGAGCGATGAATTTGTGTTTCGTGTCGAGAGATTCCGCCGCCCGTGCCACTCGGGCTTGGGGGGCCTCTTCAGCTGAACGATGATGAACTGTCACGCCGTGCGCGCCTCTTAATCACGTCACATTTTAACGCGATGTAACGTTTAAAACGTCTCTTAATACCTGTGCAGAGTCATCTTGCGTTGTATTAAGTGTCTGCCTGAGCGCTGTGCCTCTCGTATCGTGTACAGTGCATGTTATATCGTGTGTGTGATATATCGTGTGTGTGTGTGTGATATATCGTGTGTGTGATATATCGTGTGTGTTATATCGTGTGTTATATCATAGTGTGTGTTATATTCAACACATCTGTGAGGTTCGTCCATTCTCAACTGCACATTTGAGGTGCAGGACATCACTGCCGTGGCATGTGTATAAGTGGACGGGCCTGTCTGTGAGGATGAGTCTTAACTGTTTCATGTGTTGTCGGCTTCTTGTATTTATTATTCCAACGCAGTGCGCATTACGATAACTCGCACTGCACTCCGTAAGGAATTGGCGTCAACCCAATGTGAGCAGCATCCTCCTCCCCCTCTCAAGAGTCTCGAGACTCGGTGAGGTTTATATGGATACGTTGATTGTATTTTTTATCATAATTATTCATCGGTTCATCTGCTATGTATCTGAGGAAGGCGATAGCACGGGTTGGCCTTTATTCGGTACTGCAATAGCGACAACCTACGTTGTTATGACAAATCAAATTGTCACCTTGCCCAATCAAAGCGATGCACCGCGCTTATTTACACGAACTGTCCGGTCACGATGGTAATGAACATTGCTGATGACACAACGTGTCAACCCGTACGGTTTAGCCCGTATTCCTGTACAGGGTAATTGAGTTTTCAGGTCCATACGGCGCACAGCCGTTTCAATACGGGCTTTGTAGAATGAACGTTGAGGTTTATAAAGGGGCACGGAGTGACCAATCAGGCACTGATAAGGGGTTGACAGGTATGTGATGATGATATTGTTGGCAATGGTGGAGATTGTTACATTAACGTCAAAGTGCCTGCTCCAACGAGGTTGGTTGGAGGCCATACTCATGAGGGGGCTGATGATGATGATGGTAATCAACATGGCTGGTATTAGCGATGGTGCTGATGGTGATGATTGGTACGGACAAATCGAAGTCGATGCGTTTCCCAAGCTCAGTCGGCTTGGGGCGATGCTCGCCACGTTCATTAGGGGGACATGAGCTTGTGATACAATCCACGTTTCTGAGTCCAGGATTCATCTCTCCATAGGACAATCGCTGTTGGTCTCTCTCGCACAACGTATTACCAATTTTAGCGAACGGGACGTGCGATGATGGGTCGTCAATTCCTGACCCAAGGGTTTGAACTGACGAACCTTTATTTTTGTGTGTTTGCGAGTCCAGTGCACTGACGTCAGAACCATGCGGCTGGTTCAAAAATGAATATTGTTGTTTTATTATGGTTACAACACATGCCACCGTAACTGGGTTTACGTGTTTAGTGTACGGGATGGGGGGGGAGGCCGATTGCCGATACGGGCATCGGTCGGATTGGTCTCCACGAGTCTGGCAACCGAGGAATGGGGAGACCCTAAGGCCAGGATGATGGAAGATTTATCAGGGTTCGCGTGTCTACGATGCAGCAGCAGCAGCTGTGGGATCTGCCTGAGGGTAGAGAGCGTTGGCATTGAGGTGTGGGTGGAGGCAATCGGTGGCTTTGGCCTGGCTGACTTTTTGACTAAAGGAAAAATGTGAATGTGGAAAGGAAGAGGTAAAATGTGTGTCCTTTAGAGAGAACAGAAAATAAATACTCTGCTCTTGACCAGCATAAACATGTCCACATCAACGTTAAAAAACCCTCCACTTTTTCAAACTTTCTTGCTGTAGTTTTCACACCTGATGATGATTGCTTGTGTTGCAGTCGAAACGTCGTGGGAATTTTATTGTTTTATATTTTTATGATTTTATTGTTTCCCTTCTACGTGACTTACCGAAAGAACCAAGAATATATATGTCCACGTCTGTTATGCGCGGCGAAAGGGAAGGTGATCCGGTGGCTGGGTGGTTCAGGAGGGTCGAGACATTCAGCCGGCACCACTGAGATCCAACGTTGGAATTTGGCTTTCAGCTGCCCGTGTTTGAACTGGGTCCTTCACTACATTACGGTCTCAGTCCAGTCACCAATAACTGCACAAAAAAACGTAGCTTTGTATTTTGTTTCTTTCACCTAATCAAGGTAACTTGCAGCTCGAAGAATAAAAAAAACTTTATAATGAACATTTTTCCTGAGCAGCTGCATGTGATAAAGTCCATCCACAGACAGCTCTCAGGAGGACTGTACAATGAAAACAAGACAGTACTCTTTCGCCAGGGATGCTGCCATGGTATAACGGCTAGCCACAGGACTTGCGGTTCATAGATCACTGATTATATATCCCAGCGCAGCAGGTGAAACAAATAGACACTTTTCTTAAATCTCTGTCCACCAAACAGTATAAATGGATAGACCACAGTTGCTCGGCAGGTCATGTGTGGTGGAGTTCAGTGTGGCTAGTTCTTCTACCTCTTCTAAGACTTGCGGACAGTGTGGAATAGTTGGCCAAATACCCTCTGAAGGGGCTCTCTCGAGCTCCCTCTCATTGCATGAGCTGGAAATTGCAGCCCTGCACCTTTACCTTTTGTAGTCTAATTAACATGTTTTTCATTATCCATATTTTAGTTTGATCTGGGCTACCCCTCCTCTCCCCCATTCCCCCTGAATAATCCAGAATTCATCATAATACTTTCATTATTATATAGCGTCATTCACGCTAATAGCATCCCACAATGCTGTACCTTAATTATATATATATATATCAGGACCAAATCCCATATACAACCACAACCAGGCAAATTAAAATCGTACTTCCAAGCAACATAAAAAATAATAATAGACAAAAGGCACAACAACACAAAGGTTATCACAGCAACTATTTCTCTGACGTCTTCTCTGTGAATGATGGTGAACGTTGTTGTGCCCTGCAGAACCAAGTGATAGGATGTCTGCTCATCGTGTGCTGTAACCTCCTTTTGAGCGGGGCGTTCTCTCTGCAGGTGAGTGTCACTGCGTGCGCGCTACTTGACACGAGGATCGCTCATCCATGATCACAATTTTTTTTTAATCCTTTCCGGGATCGATTCTCGATTCCAATTGTCATGGAATGTAAAATAGTTTCCACTCATCGATGCATAAACACACGCATTTTCATCAATGTTAAGCCAAGGTTCTTCCACCGAAGAGATGGAGTGATGAAATCAGCTCATTGTCAGGTGCTAGATGGATCATTATATCCCAGGAGCCCAAAAGGTGGTGGCATTGCACAGTTCCTTGTTAAAATATAGGTTGATGAGCACAGAATTGAGAGATTTTAATCTGACTTCTGCATGTTGTGTAAGGGTTTGTTTCCAGGATGCGTGTATGGGTTAAAGGCAGTGGTTTGTGGTATAACAACCCGGGAAATGTTTACGCTTAGTTTGCAGTCTTAATTCTGTGCACACTCAGCAAAAAAAATCACTCGAGGGATTTTTTTTATGACTGACCACAGATCACAGAGAGCAGCTGGGCTTCATATCAGCCGGGTCTGTCTAGGTCAGTGACTCATGCAGTAACACCTCTAGCTATGACTGTGGCTACAACAAAGAGGCTTCTAGTCGCATGCGCCCCTACTCCAGTCTACCAGCGACCTTGAAGATAGTGAAAAATTTATCCCTGGACCGTAAGCATATAGTAGTATTGATTCACAGATTTAACAGATTTATGTGCTCAAGATGAATGCATTGAGATGTGTGGGTAAGATTTAATCATCTTTAATTCATGCAAATTACATGCTAATGTTACATTTAAGCTTGTGGAGCGAACAAAGTTGTCCAAATGAGACCAGATAAACAATAAAAATATCCAAATTCACTGCTAAAAACGGGATGAAAAGGAGTTGAACCACAACTTCGCATTCTGCCAATTCTTCAAACCGCGGTCCGGGTCAATGTTTACTATGACCCAAATGTTCACAACGACCCCTGACCTCACCCCCTCTGCCCCTTGTGTTCCTGACCTCGCCCCCTCTGCCCCCCTCTCTGCTGCCCCAATGTAGAAGAGCGTGCACGTGCGTGCCGGGCTGGGCAAGTGCGCTCACCCGTACGCCACCAGCCCCGCGTGGCGCCTCGGTCTGGTGCTCATGGTCCTGGGCGAGACGGGAAGCTTCGTGGCATACGGGTTTGCACCCATCATCCTGCTGGCGCCCGTTGCCGCCATCTCCATCGTGGGTAAGACCTGTGTGGACAAATCTTACATCTTATAAGCTAGCTAGCTATAAGCTATAATTGTCAGCTATAAGCTAGCTAGCTTTGCTATATATTTTTTTCATTGTTTACCAGGTAAGGCCCACTGAGCTGTATAGCTCTTTTTCAGATGCGACACTGGTCACAAATTACAACTCAACGAAGTGGCTTAGTGTGTGGAAATTTATAGCAGCCAAATACTCTACAACGCATGTTTGTAAATGTGGAGGGGAAAACCGGAGGACCTCGGGAGCAATCGGCACAACCACGGGGAGAACACGCAAACTCCAAATATACAGGCGTCAGTGTCTGGATCGAACCCACGACCTCCTGCATACCAGGCAACGGACATAACATCTCGCCACGGAGGCCGCTGGGTCCTTGGGCCACAAGCGATAGAGTCCTTCGTCTGTCTCTCTCACCGACGAGCCGCTGGAATCGCATCCACGTCAGGCCTCTACATTTTAATACCTCCACTGTTTTCACGTATGTCCTCCGCCTCTGTTGCCTACTGGACATCTGTGGAAATGAGCTTTATAGCTCATAGGATTCCTCCAGTATAAATGTTCTAATTCTTAAACTATAGTTGTCATTGCTTTTGACATTGCTTTTTAGAGCAATGCTCGCACCAAATTCCCATCAATCCATATGGGACAGAATGCTCCGGTCTCTGTTAATAATGGCTCTGGGCTCCCTATGGGGGACAGGCGCAGTGTAATAATTGTAATGACGACTAGAAACGTCACACTTTAATTTCCTCCCCCAATGAAGATTATTACGTTACCAAGATTTTAGATTATTTTACAAAGCTACTGGTCAACTCGCAACTCAAAAACGAATGGGAAGGGAGTTTAATATTGTTGCAAATCTTCTATGATTCACATGTCGCAAAATTAAGTACATTTTACAAGGCCCTGTCTTTACCAGTACCTACAACTATAGGCTACTAAATACACGATCATTTATAATAATATAAGCAAATGTAATAATTGGTCCTGATGAATAATAATACAATTATAATCAATTCATGTATTATGTTAACATATTAACTGTCCCTATTTAAGGAAGCCTGATCAGGTTACTCTCAATTTCAGGATTCCCATTTGAAGCATGGGGATAACATGTGTATTCGTAATTTTTCCTTAGAAGTTAGCTAGCTATAAGCTAGAATTATAATGTTTGAGTAGACTGTATGATATTGACATTGCCTGATCTGGAAAAGCAATTGCCTTCAAAAAAATGCAGCGTAGGAAAACACATGGTCGATGACACTTGCATGTCAAAGTCCACGCAACCGCCAACGTTTGACAAGTATTTGAATGGAAGGGGTTGTTGAAGGCTTCAGCAGGTCATAAATATATGGAGGTGCTAAGCTATTCAGGAAGCTGCTGCGGTGTAATCTTTATTGCATTGGACTTAAACTAAAACTTTAAACTAAACTCTTTGTGTTTTGTTTTGTTTATTTTTTACCAGGTAAGGCCCACTGAGCTACATATATAGCTCTTTTTCAGAAGTGACCTGGTCACAAAATGATAGCTCAACAAAGTGACTCTGTTGAGCTCCCACGACCTCCCGTATACCGGGCGAGGTAGTTAACATCTCTTTGCCACCATGGCGCCCCTTGCAATCCAGAGGTCGCTTGCTTGATTCCATATCCGGTTGAAACGACGGGGAAGGTTCCTCAAATCCCCTCCCACCCCCTCTGTCCACCCGGCGGTATGAATGGGTAAAACCACGGCTGATCAGAAGGTTGCATGTGGTGGGGTAAAGTGTGGGTAAACCACTTCTAATGCATCCGGTCGATTTGAAAGAGTAGACCAAATACTCTCTAAAGTTTGTTCCGGTCGAGTTTCTTCTGCTAGCAGTGCAGTGAGCAGGCTTTTGAAATTGTGTAACAAAGCAATCTAAGATTGATTTTAAATCTGTATTACTGAAATTCATGTAATATTTAAATTAATGTAAGATAGAATCTTAAAAAAACAAGAGTTTTGAAAGTACTTATTGTAAAATCTGACATGAAAGCTTTGCTAATGGTAAACAATGAAGAAGAATCTTGCACATGCGCTGATTCTCCAACTCTTTCCAACGTGCGTTCGTCCTCAGAAGTTTAGAAAAGTTGAATACTTCCTACTTGAATCAGAAACACTTATGTTGAAAAAGGATTTTATCGAGAGGCAGAAAGAAGAACACGTGGATTAGAGAACCTCTGTTAGTCAAAAACATCATATTGACCTGGGAAAGGTAAGTGGGCACGTGTAGTAGAACATCGTTAGAAGGTTTCGATTTAAAGCTTTCGTGACTGCAGGGATTCATCTTCTTGGTTCTTTCGGTAAAGTCACCTAGAAGGGAAATAATAAAATAAGAAAAATAAAACATTAAAAAATAAAACATTAAAAAATAAATCATTATATTTCCCTTCTACGGGACTTTACCGAAAGAACCAAGATGATCGTTAGAAGGGTCAATGGCTGACGGTTGAGAATTAACGAGTGGCAGCCAAGTGACGGAACACACCCGACAGAGAACGTCCATCGTGGAGATGGAGCGATGTAATCGGCTCGTGTGCACGTGCCAGTTGGATTGTTACATTGTAGGACCATGAGCGATGCCCACAGCTGGAGGAAGCCTTCATCCAGCAGTGGAGTGATCATTAAAATAATAAAACTATTTTGAGCGTCATTCATGAAAATTGCATCTCAAAACGCTCAGCGTTATGGCTGATGATGTTGATGATGGAATCGTGTCTTTCTTCCCCATTTGTCTCCACCACTTGCAGCGAGCAGCGTGCTGGGGGCTGTGTTCATGAAGGAATGCGTGCGACCCTTTGACGCAGCTGGTGAGTAAAATTGTCTGGAGTCTTGATCGCGTCTGATACGAACGATAAATAATGAACACGGTGCGTTTAGTGACCTCAAGTCACCGAGCTGCACAAGGGACGGTCGAAAGCTGTCGAAAGGTGGTCTGTGGTTTCAAGTACCCCGTCACCAACCCCCGCCAACGGCGCATTTCAAAATCACATCGGATGGTGGTTATACGTAATCTCCGCTCTGTGAAACTGGCAACCTGAGCTCGATTTTCGGCCAAGGCTAACATCGGTGACGAGTGATGTATGAACCGGTGCTAGCCACCCACCTCCCCCCACCTTTACCAATCCGTACTCACCAGCACGGTGAAGTATGGTCAAACAGGTCCCGCGATGACACGTACCGCGGGTGTCCAAAGACAAAGTCAAAGATTCCCCGTATAGCCTTAACAGACTTGGAGCAAGTGCTGTTAGTGAGTACCTATGAAGGCCGGCACAGCACACAAGGGGGTGGGGTGGCCAACACCATGCCCGGCCGCCGGCCTTTGTTTCCCCAGTGATGATGTTTACACACTGCTTCAGGTACTAATTTGAGGCTGAGTCGCCCTAGGGGAGGCCCAGGACCGGTTCACATGATCGTCACTGGTGTGGATCGTGAGAGGGAATCGAACCCAGGTCGTGAGTTTCGTAGCGCAGCGCGCTAACCGCCACACTACCACTACCCATTGTGTGTATGTGTCCGCACATACATACACACACACGTGGACACGTGGGGCCAAATGTTTACATGTCTCATAACAGAGACAAATGAATTGATTCTTGGCTCATGTCACAACCTCGTTCCATTACAATTCATTGAATTGCTCTGGGTTGGGGGGAATAGTTACACACTTTGTAAAAATACGACAAAAGGAATGAATTCCGGAAGCAAATTCGCATGGCCCTTTCATTAAAATCCTTCCTATTTCTCCAGGCTGAATTCTTAAATCCCTAATAATAGAAACAATAACAAATTGATTTTAGACTTTAATCTTTGCCTCGTATTGTTACAATTCGTGGAATTTGCTTTGTTGAGGTTGTGGGTGTTGCTAAATTGTTACATGCCCCGTAACAATAAGACAACATGGAAAAATGTATTGAATCGTAATGATTCATTGACATCATCATTATGATCCATGGGCAGGTAGGTGTTCAATGCACTTGTTGCCATGTGTTTAATCATTCTGGCACCCATCTCTTACGTGGTCGTCAAGCCGTTTTTTGTTAGGTCGTTGACATCACCGGGGGCTATTATCGTCACGGTGTGCGCGCGCGCGCGTGTGCTTATCCGGACAGGCCCGGTGGTGGTGGTGGTTGGCGTGTACCTCATTGGCGCCTTCACGCCTAACACTGCGCTGGAGCTATCTGCCGCGGTGTTGGTGCAACGCCTCGTGGGCTGGCAGTGCCTCCTCTATGTGGTACAAGAGTAGCGCTCTCTCTTCCACACGCTCTCTCTCTCTCCAGCACGCTCTCCAGCACTGTCTCTCCAGCACCTTCTCTCTTCCACACGCTCTCTCTCTCCAGCACTCTCTCCAGCATGCTCTCTCTCACTCCAAGACTTTCTCGCTCTCTCTCTCTCCCGCACGCTCTCTCTCCGCTCTGCCAACTGGGAAACTTGAAGAGCCGTTACACTCAAAGGGGCTCATGAAAAGGCAATTGGCAATCGAGATACGTAATTACCCCTAATAGTTGCGTAATTAGCCAATGAGTTGTGGCGCGCTCGCCCGTATCTAATTCTTTCGACCACCTGTCGAGTTCCAGCCCACTGTGCTTACTGCCCTCTTAACAGTCCACTGCTGGATGAAGCGTAGGCTACATGCTTGCTCATGCCACTGCGGGTGATAAGGGCCCTATCTAAAGGCTCTTTGGCCTACTCCTCCATTGGCTTAATGTCTTGAAAGATGCGGGAGGCACCCATGTTTTACTCGACGCCATCCGTTAATGTCAACTCTGTCACGAATCGGAGCTCAATTGGCCACATCCACGTCTAGATAGAACAGTCAAAGCCCCCCTCACTTGGTGATTTCCCCATTTCTGGAGGTAGTGGCATGGGCACGTGCTTAGCGAAGAATCGGACAGAATTGGTCCAACTCCCGAATCGGGTCCTGATATGCGGAAGCCGAAACGTGCAGGTGGCTTATGGAACTGCATCAAAAGTATTCCATGGTTTAACTTCTGAACTTTCAGGGCATTTTTTGTTGTTTTATATATTTAAAAAAAATTGGGCTTGAACAGATGGCTGCGGAGAAGCGCACGTGGGCTTGAAGAGAGAGCCGAGAGGAGTGTGGCCACTTCAGTGTGCACAGTTGTGGCCACTTAACTGCACCCAGAGGCCTGCACTCAAGCGTAGCTAGCGCCAATGATCGGCATTCCTTTAAAGCAGAGAGCGGGGAGCCTTTTCTTTCCCAAGGGCCGAGTTGGACTTTGAAATTTCTTTGCGCGGCACGCAAATGAAACACACACACACCCGTTGGCTTAGCGTTCTCCAAAAATAACGCGACGGACAATTCTAGTTCGCCTTTGCTGCGGTGACAAGTGACTAAGCCTTGACAAAATAACCGAACGCGGTGAACCGGCCGGTGGATCAGCGATCAAGCAAGTGGCACGCAATCGGAAAGATCCGAGCTTTAGTTCAAACAGTGGTTTTGTCGTGGTTAGGCACTAAATGTAAATGTAAGGGACCTGCGGTGGCAGGATATTAATTTCCTCACCTGGTATGCAGGAGTTTGTGGGTTCAATCCCGACCCGGGCGCCTGTATATTTGGAGTTTGCATGTCTCTCCCCTTGGTTATGTGGAAAAATCAACGCGATATCGCGTGGAAAAATCCATGTATATCATGTGGTGGGGTAAAATTTTCCCCTCCATTTCGAATCAAAATGCATTTATAATATTTGGCTGTTATAAATTATCACGTGATGAGTCACTTCGTTGAGATATAATTTGTGATAGCAAGGTCACTTCTGAAAAAAAAGAGCTATATAGCTCAGTGGGCCTTACCTGGTAAAATAAAAATGGTTAGTTTAGTGGCCGCGCGCCGTATGAAGTGAAGTTACGGGCTGGGTAGAGGCCACGGGCACTAGGTTCCCCACCCCTGCCTTTAAGATTGGGAGAGGCTCTGCTGCACCTTAAAACGCGTTCCAGACACTGTAGGTGCCTTGCTGTTAGAACATATCTTAAAACCACCGAGGCGTCTAATCCAGTGACGCACGGTCATTCATTCATTCATACTGCCACCATTACGTCAGCCCAGCTTTTCTCACTTGGCTTGTCTGTGAATGCTCTCGCTAATGGAATGGACTTGTCTCCACATGACCTGCCCACCAAGTATAACGCTTGTGTGTCTGTGTGTATATATACAGTGTAAGTACTTATTTTGCATGGTGATGTTACGTAACACACGTTATTGTTGCACGCTGTAACGTTTTAGAATAAAAATAATAACACAATGCCCTTTATCGAGGATAGCCTCACCAAGTCTAAAGACTTTTTTTTTTTAAAGAGGTTCCCGCTATAGTGGGATGTTTGGCCAATTCCATTCGTGAGAGTTTGGCTCCACGTGGGAAAAACCTGGCGGGAAAAAACCTGGCTGGAAAGCCCCTGGAGAAAACCCAGCATGCGCACAAGGTGGTAACACTCAAAGCGCCGAACAGATGGATAATAAAAAATATCCATTGCTATACCACCATCTCATAACCACTTTGCAGCCGAAGCCTGCAGCACCTGGTATTCCTAAACAACCTCCCATACAAATGCTAACCAGGTGAGATTCTGCTTAGCTACCGATGCTTCATGAGATTGGGCACATTCAGGGAGATTTGGTCGTAGGTAAATATAATCTGCCAGCATGTCGCTGTAATTGCAACTAACTCATCATCTTCCTCCTGTGTCCTCCCTCTTGTGCCTGCCTCATTCCACACACACACAAACACACGTGTGTATATATATATACACCTCCCTATGCAATATTCTAATCATCCTCCTTGCATGTCTCCTCTCCCAAATATATCCTGTCTATTAAATTGCCCGTCTTACCGACAACCACTGGCCGACAATGGCATTAAACACCGCATGGACACTGGCATGCACACGCACGCGCACCCACGTACACACGCACAGTCAGTGGAGATGGTTGCCTTCTGCCTGCTGCTGTATTTTTACCGACACCGCGGGGTGCAGAGCGTGCTGATGGTGCTGGCGCTCGCCGCCCTTCTCGGTAAGAGACCACCATCCCTCATTGGTAAAGGTCTGTCTTGGATTCAACGCCGGGATCCACGAGGCTGGGTCTGAGGTAGAGGCCAGGACGACGCGAGGCCTAGCCGAGGCCCAGGCTGAGAGCCTGTTAGGAGGGAGGCCAGCGTCGAGACCAGTTGAGGCCTCATCATCTGGACTGGCTTATTAGCTGCAGTGAGCAAAGCTCGGGGGGTAACACTCCACGCAGACTGCTTCACGAACCTCCTTGCTGTACTGTCATCTGGCCGTTGATATTTCAAAGTGAAAGTGACCTTTTAAAATGGGCCTGTAAGTGGGCTGAATAACAAAAATAATAATTGGTGTTTTTTTTTTTTTGCCCAGCAAAATTTCACAAGACTTTTCTAAGATGGTCCTGCCTTTAGATGTTTCGTCAATTCCATGAATGAGTGTTTGGCTTCATGGTGGGATGAAAAACGGAGAACCTGAATGACAGCACGGTGTACACGCGAGGGGATAGCTGCATCTCAAGTTCAGGAGACAGGCTCACAGACCCCCCCCCCCCCGTATGTACTTGCCATTCCCTGGCCACATCACAGCCCAGTGGGTTAGGGAATTTGACAAATCTCTTTATGTGATCCACAAACCCTTACCCTTCAGGCTGCTGGTGTGCATCGCCGCAGCGTGTATACAACTCCTGCGCCGAGAGTTGGCCTGCCTTGTTTTCCAAAAAAATGTCGTTGCCAGGTGTGGCTGTGATGTCAGGGGTTGTGATTCGTGCCGAAAACACAGCTGTTGTTAAATTAATCGGTGTCAGCCACACCCTGTGTGCAGACACTGAACTAAACTCTTGGGAGATCACTGGCTCAGAGCTTAAATCCAAGTAGCAGTCTAGTGATGTTTTCTAGAGTCCATGTATGTGTGCATTTACGTATGTGTTCATGTAGATGTGGCTGTGACTACGTGTCTGTGTGTTCATGTAGGTGTGGCTGTGTCTACGTGTCTGTGTTTTTGTGGGAAGCAGTGGTGTCGTGGTTAGCGCACTGCGCTACGAACCCGGAAATGCGAGTTCGATTCCCGCTCATGGCCAACACTAGTGATAATTGATCTGAACCGGTCCTGGGCCTCCCCAAGGTCGACTCAACCTCAAATGAGTACCTGGTGCAGTGTGTAAGCATTGCCACTCGGGAGACAAAGGTGGTCGGGTGTGGTGCTGGCCACCCACCCCCTCGTGTGCCATGCCGGCCTTCATAGGTGCTCGCTAACAGCCCTTGCCCTAACAGTCTGTTAAGGCTATACGGGGGATCTTCGTCTTTTGCTTGTGCTGCACATACATGAATGCGAGTGCATGATTTAGTGGCTAAGGTTTCTCTTTTTACCGGCGCTTCCATTGCCGTCACTGGCTTGTTTGAAATAGTTTTTTGCCGGGTTATTTTCCACCCCCGCTCCCAAGGGGCCACCGTTTGCCCGTCGGTCAGCCTTGTCATTGCCCGTTCTGCCCTTGGCACGGAAATTGAACAATGCGTGCCTGACATTGTGCAACTGACCGCTAGGTTACGCAGCTTACGTAATAGTGGTGGCCCCCGAGAGCTGGTGGTTATAAATCTATAGTATAAACCCCAGGGCATTGGTTGTCACTTCCGCTTGACGTTGCCAGCCATGTGTAGTTCACCCGAGCTACGTAGCGGGCAATGAGAGGGCAGCGCAGCATAATCTGTTGTTGCTCGTACCTCTGTGGGCCCACATCTATGCTCCCCGCATCCCCGAATAGCACGGTTGGTTACGTACGGTGCGAAAGAAGTTCAACATACATACATATCAAACTGCAATGGCTAGCTTGGTGTAGTGTGTTGAAATAGGTAAGGCATGATCTGCATAGCGTGGAGCAAGCTCTCATCCAGCAGTGGGTTTTTCACAAAAGGACTATACATGGAGTTCACTATGCCTGGCTTGAGCACAGGCTTTGTTTAATGCTATGGAGCAAGTCACTTGGCCAGTTTTGATAACGTTGCAACCCAAAGGTGTCGTGGATACGGCTTGTGGTTGTGAATGCCGCAATGGTGGCTTAAAGCAGGTGTCTCAGTCTGGCGTGGTTAACAGAGTGCGGCTGACGCGGATGACGTGGGTGTGTTCCGTGTCCTTGGTGTTTGGCATGAGCTACACAGGTAGCATGGTTTGTGCGGTGTGGGTTGGCATGCGTGGTGGATAAAGGTAACAGCTTGTATGGTGTGTGTGATGTGTGTGTTGCATGGGTGTCATGGTTTGTGATATGTGTGGTGTGGGCCACGTGGGTGGCGTTCCGCGTATGTGGGCGGTATTGGTCCTATTAGTGTGGGTGACCTGTGCGTGCGTGGCGTGTGTGTGTGTAACGGTGCCATGCGCAACGTGTGCCCGTCTGGTCGTGCCGCGAGCTTCCCGGGTGGCGCTTGCGGCGGCGAGCACACGTGACGCCGGTGTGCCGTGACGTCTGCGACTCTCTACCGGGGTGGACGCGTGGCTGCGCCGCGACGTTGCCTCGTCCGACGCGCGTGTCTGCGCGACGTGTGTGCGACGCGCGTAGGCTCCGTGGCCGTGATCTCCATGCAGGGCGTGGCAGGGATGCTCGTGTTGTCCGTGGCGGGGAGCATGCAGCTCACCTACCCGATCTTCTACGTGCTGCTCGTCACTATGATGAGCTCCGCCTTCTTCCAGGCCGAGTGGGTGGCGGCGTTCACGCCGACGATCACACAAACACAAATGCTGCCCACACCGCACCGCCACTAACTGCTACCATTGTCACTCACGTGGCCATCACAAACGTGGGACGCACACGCATGGGTCACGCGTGAAAACAGTCACACCACACCAACGGGGCTCCTGGTAATACAAAGATCGGAAGCTCTTGCCATAGTAATGGATCGCGTCTAAAACACGCCAGTCCTCGCTGAAAGGGTCCCATAGCTACTCCAGTCCTTGCGACCCACCATGCTACCTCCTTCCAGTTTCACCAATTGTATTATTATCATCGTCCATCCTGTCCCTGTCCGTCGGCTCGTTAGCGGCAATTGAGCCGAACGAAATTCAGTCGTGCTCTTGAATCAGCATGATCGCTTGGCTCAATCTCAATTCCGTTCCATCTACTTTCACCACTGCATCTGTCGATCGAGTATTCTGTCGTCCCGTCTACCATTGTGTCCATGTCGCCGAAGGTGAGATCCTCATCCAGATTCGTTCTCATCACGTGCGGGAACCACTGCAGGGTTATTCCCTTGACTTTGTCTGAAAAGGTTGATACTCACAGCCGTGTTCAATCTCTGTACATTCAACTCACCCACGTTTGAGTGCATATTAACAAGTGGTTACGTGAGGCACACGCGTGATGGTTGTGAATCGCGGTCCGCTTGATTTTAGAGAGCGCTAATTAATTTGAATCGGCCTATGTCTCTATGAGACGCACAACACACAATATGTCAACGTAAATATGAATCGATGCTCTCTACATCACGAACGCACGCGTACGGGCACACAGGATGTCCATCTAGATTTGAATCGGCGCTCTCCTTGTCACATAGGGCTATTGTTTAGCTATAATGAGGCCCCTGTAGTAAGTTATCACTTGGGCCTATCACGGCTCAGTTCAGGCTTGGCTGTGGCTCAATTCAGCCAGCACAAAGCCACGCTTAGCTAGAGCTGGCTCTGAGCATTGTCCCAGCCACGCTCGAGATTTCCATGAGCCGAGCCTGAGTTGAAGCCGAAGCCAAGCCATGGCTGAGTCCACTCGCTCATGCGTCTTTGGAAGCAACTGAACGGCTCAAGCCGACAATGAACCTGAGCGTTAGAGGCCGAGCCAGAGCTGAGCTTGGACTAAGAATCTGGCCCTGGGTTTGTATTTGAGCAGAGAAGATTTGCACACATGGAGAGCGACATCACGAGAACTGGAGTTCTAGAAGCACTGTGTCAATGTAGGGTGTGGTACACTGCGTTCTGTACTAATTGAACTCGCGAGCTGGCTAATCGAGCATTGTAATCGTAAGGGAATGTTAATATGAAATATAAAACAATGAGGTAAGTTTGTAATTAACAGCTGCTAGGCTATTCATTGCTATGGCCAGGGTAGATTCCATTTGTCCATCTGAGAACACTTCACATGTTGTCAAGAAAACGAGGGTACCCCTTACCCAATCAGTTCCAAACACGCCACACAGCTCACCCACAACAATACTAAACTCTATAGTTATGCAAGGTTGGCCATTCCACACTTTGTTAAAAAAAATATCACAATATAGCATTCTTAGCATACGTCCACGAGAACACGTGCACTTGAGTGTAAGCTGCCACCCCAAACTCGTGTATCGCCCGTACGTACGTTTCCAACTGAGTCTGAAAGTGTTTATGCATCAGCTCTCTCCGTCCGTAACTGGGAATGAGGTCGGGTGGGCGGCGACGGGCCTGACCCAATATGAACCCAACTTGACTGCAATGTGTCGCTGTTCGGGACTTGCCACATCGATCTAAGGGGGTTGCCCAAAACCTGTAGACCGCAAACCGCAGCGAAGAGCACAACGTTGCAAATATGATCAAGAGCATGGTGCCCTTCGGGCTATCTGCATGTTGAAAGCGTTCCATGGCTATTGCATTACTGTGTTAACCTCTTCATTCGTGTGGCCAGTGAAGAGCGACTGTTAGTCGAGACTCGGTTGTGAGTGATTTAGCCATTCATTTGCTTCGTTTGAGAGCTGTGTATTTATATATATGGGGCAATGCAAAGGTTTACATTGTCCATGCTTCTGAGTTAGTAGCCGTATTCACGCAACAGGAAGAGAGTCTAACTTGTTTGTACCATCAGATCCCCTAACAAATTGGAAGCCCTCTCCTAACCGGACCGGCCTGTCGGTTTGTTCGTTCCTGCAATCCGCAGCTTCCTGTGGCAGGCGACGGAGCAGTTCGGCTCCACTCGCGTCATCCCCATCAACTACATCTTCTCCACGATCAGCTCTGTGGCTGCAGGTAAAAACTCAGGGAGTGTGATCTGTCGCACTTGGCTGCGCCGGCATCGGCAATCCCCGTTCCGAATTGGCGGCAGGGTGGCGTCGCAGCAGGTGGTGACGCTTGTGCCTCGCAGCAAGAAGGGCCCGGGTTCGATTTCTGACTCGGGGGCTGTTCTGTGTGGACTTCTCCCCCTGTTCTGTATGGGTTTCCACCTGGTTCTTCAAGGAGAAGACACTCCTATACTGAACGCTGCATCGCCTTGTTAGAGAGAACGGCCAGTGGGAGGAGAGATCTCAGAACTGCTTTTGTTATCCCTTAAAGTTAGATTTTATATCCACATGCCCTGCTACAAAGACATGTTATTCACATGGCAACGAAACAGATCTTTTTTTTACCATAGTAAAAATTCTTAATTAATCAATAGATATTTTTTTTTGCGCAGTCATTGGGCCACCGATTTTTTTAAGACTATCATCTCGCTGCACTTGACAACCCAGTTTAATTGCAGGCGGCTGAAGCCCAGATTAGAAAAGCAAGGTCTAAGTGGTGGTGGCTCGTAGCTGTGACCTCTGAGCCACCTGGCCACTTCCCTAGTGTCAGCTTTAATAGCAGTGGGAAATTTAAAACCTGGCACGCGCGGCTAAGACACGAGCACCCGTCGCAATGCAATTATCAAGCGTACGCAATTTCACTTGGTTGGTAATACTGTCAATTAAAGAACACATTTTATTTCTCAATCTCTTGGTTTTTTTTGACGAGTAGACATTATTATGATTGCAAAATGTTCTCTTGATTTTCATCATCAGCCAATGAGCAATCCACTGCTGGATGAAGGCCCCTCCCCACATCCGTCACCATCTGTCGCGCTCACGTGATAACAGCGCTCATCTGGCGCCTACGCACGAGCTGATTTCATCGTTCTGTCTCCCACGCTGGACGGCTCATGTGCTCATTCCATTCCTTTCGGCTGCCACTCCGTCGTTTGTCTCAACCACGGCAATGATCCCTTCGAGATGAAGTGTCCTGACCCAAAGGCTGATGGAGACACAGAATGGAGTTCTGCTTATTCAGAATTAGTGCTATTGCAAATGACATCTGGTAAACCAGCAGAATTTGTAAAAACAAGCCTGACTCCGCTGATGAGATCCAGAAAGTTCAAACCTGTCCAGCGTTTGCTGGCTTAAACAAATGCTGCTGTATAATATTGGTCTCGAAAGCCAAGAGTCCAATGGACTGATACCATTGTTCTTTATATGTAGAGACGTAGAATGAAACAGGAGGATATCTCCAAATCTGGCTGTTGCCTGATGAAGCTAGTTGTAATCACTGGCAAAACATCGTACTCAGATTGTAAATGCTGTGGCTTTGCTCTCCAACACACCGGTGTGCTGTACTAGTACTAGTTGCCTTACTAGTTGGCTGTGTCGGGTAGTGGCGGGTTTAACGACATATTTACTCGATCTAACCCAAAAAAACCTGTATTATGGACTATAATTAACTTCTGTTTGGAGGTGCTTTTTCTTTTCTCACCAGTGAATGTGATGTCTCTAATTTTTGTACATTCTCTAATCCACGTGTTTATTTTGTTTTACTGCAACTGGAGGTTGAACGGGGGGGGGGGGGGGGGTGGGAGGGGGCAGTAGGGGTGACGGTCTTTGAGGCATTATTGCACCCCAGCTTGAAGATTTCTTCTGGAACTGCCTATATTTAATGTACCCCGAGTGAAAACACTAATTATCAAATTTCCATTTCGTATTGTTAACGCTGCATGATTTGCCGACTCCCGGAGCATTGGTGCGTCCTCCCTCCTTAATGGCGTACTTGAGATTTTAATGAGTTTCAGATTTTATTGCAGCTTTACAACCTTGCATTTGCGTTTATGTAAGATGTGCTTCGGGCATACGATAATAGCAGGTATGGCACACAAATCCGTTATCCCCTGGTTTGCGCGTACATGTGTGTGTATATAAAAGTATGAGTGTGTGTGTGAGTGAACGAGTGTGTGTGCGGCTCACTGCGCTACGAACCTGGCGACCCGAGTTCGATTCCCAACCTCAGTGATGAAATCTGAACCGCTCCTGGGCCTCGCCTAGGTAGACTCAGTCTTCAATGAGTACCTGATATGTATAAACGTCACTACTAGGGAGGCAAAGGCGACCTGGCATGGTGCTTGTCACACCACCTCCTCATGTGCTATAGTGGCCTTAATAGGTGCGTGCTTACAGTACCTGCCCATACAGTCTGTAGGGGATCTCTGTCTTTCAGGAGCAGTCATGTAGTGTTCAGGGCACTGCGCTGCAACCCATTTATCTGACTTCAATTCCTGGCCATGGCTAACTTGAGTGGCGATTATCTAAACCCATCCTGGGCCTCTCCTATGTCAACTGTGTGTGAGTGAGAATTTTTGTATTTGATGCATGTGTGTGGTGTATATGAGTATGGGCGTCCATGTACGTGCATGAGTGTGTGCTTTGCTGTGTGTGAGATTACTGATGAGCTGACAAAAGGTACAGACAATGATGATGATGACCATATTCTCCAGATTCTAAGGCACACTATTTTTTCTTGTATTTTAAAGCAAACTTTGGTCGTGTGTCTTACAAACCAGTCGGTGTATGTGTCTGTGTAAGACCAGATTTGTATAACTTTATTGACAGTGGGCACAAGTTTCATGAGCATCTTTTTTTCCGGAGCACTTACTAAGAGCGCTTACCCCCCACAGTTTATCCAGACTAAGCGTGTGGTTGTTGTGCGTGTGTATGGACGTGTGTGTGTGTGGACGTGTGTGTGTGTGTGCTCGTCACAGGTGGTATTTTTTACCAGCAGTTTCGTGGTGCAGCCCTTCTCAATGTCCTCCTCTACATCCTGGGGTGAGTGACGGTTACGTGGTGGAGTGCCGTTTCGATCGCCATCTCCCGCCGTGCCATATATCGTTTCTCGAGTGTATCACCGTTTGCCGTGACGCAGTGTGAATGGCCTAATGAATCGCTGGGCGTGACTTTATAGAGTGGAGACGCACGGAAGGTATAAATAAACCGTACTGCATTTGCTTGCCGATGCCACCACCAGTGTTGCTGTCGCGGCATTAGCCACCTACCCCATCGTGTGCCGTGCCGACCTTCACAAATGCTGCCCGCCGTAACGGCACTTGCCCCGACAGTCGGTTGTACGGCTATGTACGGGGGACACTTTGTCTTTGCGTGATCACGTGCAGGTGCCTGCTGTGCGCTCTGGGCGTGCTGCTCGTGACGCGAAACCGCGGCAAGACGCCATCGCCGTTCCTCACGGCCGACTTCACCGGTGAGCGCCACGACGCTCGACCGTTGCGGACGCCCACGCCCAAATAATCCAAGCAACGATCGCAGAAATCGCCGAAGCCAAACGCGAAAGGGCCAGAGTTACATTTGCGAGGCAAGAGTAAAATAATGTTGTGCGTGTTGTAATACTGGATGAGGGCCTCCCCACGCCGTGGCAATCATGGGGGTTGTTTGGCCATACTTCACCGCATGGGGTGGGTGCGGTTTAGTGTTGTTGCGGGAGCATATAAGTACAGTACAATTGAATTTTGCTGCTCTCTCTTTTCTGCACACCGTGTAGCCCCACAAACCCTACAACAGTGCGGTCGTGCTTGGTGTTCACTCGGCCAAGCACGAAGAGCCAGGCTCACTCGCTGCTGGGCTTCTGAGATTTATCTAGATCGGGCGCATTGTACATCGAATTCTCATTGTCCGTTCATTACACATTGTACACTGCTATCACTGCAGCGCGTGCTTTCATATGCGGTTCTGCGGCCGTCTGGAACGCTCTTCCGATATTAGGAAGATTGAAAACGAATTTCTTTACAACTGCTTTTTGTGTTTAGTTTGTTGTCCTTCCCCCGGGTAAGGACCACAAACTAATCACGAACAGCAGTTCTAAAGATTGAGTTATTAATTTAGTATCTTGGTGTAGTGTACAGTAGTGTATTGCGTAATAGTGTAGTGTACTGTGTTTCGTGCATAGTGTAAGGTATAGTGTAGAGTAGTGTATTATAGTATGTATGTTGAACTTGTTTCGCACCGTACGCAGCCAACCACGCTAATCAGAGGTGTGGGGGGAGGACAATCACATGATGCGCGCGTTTCTCTGTCTCACTCGCCCGTCGCCTCCGCGTGTCAGGCGCGACCGCGGGCCTGGCTGCGGCGACCCCCGACCCCTTCGCCTTCTCGTACCGCACGCTCGTCAAGGAGGAGCGCGAGCGGGAGCAGCAAATGGCGGCGACGTCGCTGCCGCCCCCCGAGTTCGTGCTGCCCCCCACGGCGGGCGCCTACAGCTCCACGCGGCATTGAGTGGGTTGGGGCGGGGGTGGCGGAGGTGTAATCTTGGACGCGCTGTAGAAACGTTTGCGACTGTCTGCTTTATCGCAATGTGAGAGCGCTCAAGGCGCGGGGGGGTGGGGGGGGCTGCATTAGCAGTGGTGAATGAGCGCAGGTCGGAAGCGCGGCCTTGTCTCCGTCGTAATCATCGCTGCCTTTGGTCTACATACACCTTGGGTACGTTAGGCGGTCGCGGAATTACAGCGTTGGGACGCAGAACCTGCAAATTGGCCGAGTAACGGCGCGTCAGATCGTCGGTAAGCATCGAATGTTGCGCTCACGATTACACGCGTCGGGTTGTACGCGTGTTCGAATCGATTTTCTGCGTCGTATCCAATGGGGTTACCATAACCCCTGCAGTCACTAGGGGTCGCTACACTCCGTACAATGGATGTAAAAAAACACCCAGTGGATGCGTGAATGGAATCGTGAGCCTCGATCGAGACAATCGTGTCGAGAGGAGGAGACAATGGCTCAGTACTGATCATCGCACACGTTAACTCGAGCATTTCTTGGAACTTTTATCTTTCGTAAGAGTTCCTTTTGCCGAGCAGATTGGCACGATTTGCACAAGAACCCACCTCTTCTGTGTAGTGTCTAATTTCACCCGCGCTGGTAATTGGGTGGATGTCGAATCGCCCAGATTACGAGGTATATTAAAAAGGCGAATATTTTGAAGCTGTGGCCTGCCTCCGCTCAGAAGAATGGCCATTGCCCAGGAAGTTAAAGCTACTCTTAATTGAGGCCAATCCACACGCTGCTGGCATTAGTGCTCCTACAGCACGGGTGTCCGCAGTTGTTCTGTACAGCTCTGCGATGTGGTTTCGGGTTATGTTGTTTGCCACGATTTCCGACGTTTTTCTGCCCGAGTTGGGAGCCTTCAGCAGCCGTCCTTGAAAACAACCCAAAAACACATCGGAGAGCAATGTCAAGGCATTGTTTTGTTTATTTCAATGACAATGCGCTGACGTCTTCTGTCGCCAGCACCGGGGAAAAAGAAACATCGGCAAGGAAGCGCGTTTCGGAAAGTTTTTGTTCTTATTTTGAATGTGGCCCCACGTGCTCTGCGTTGTAAGGCAGTGTTGCTGATGACGACGACTTTGGTGATGATGACCAGGAACAGAGTTGGCTTCCCTCTCATCCCCCTCACTGAATCCATTTGCGGTCGAGTCTCGGAAGCGCTGAAGGTTGTGGCCTGGGCACACGGCTTTAATTATATTTGTGATGACAATGCGATCCAGGTGCCGTTACACAGGGTTCCATTATTTTCATTACCTGAGCGCATGTGCTTGAGAGTGTGGGTAGGCGCCCGCCGTTGCCACTTGCCCCCAACAGTCTGTTAAAGACTACTGGGGCAATATTTTGTATTTTGCATAAAAGCGGGGAGTCATAGCGCAGTGGTTAGCGCACTGCGCTACGAACCCGGCGACCTCGGTTTGATTCTCAACCACAGCTACCGTCAGTGGCGAGTGATATCAGAACCGGGCCTGCTCCCCTCCTAGGTCGACTCAGCCTTCAATGAGTACCCTGGTAGAGTGTGTAAACAACGTCTGCACTGGGGAGACAAAGGCGGCTGGGAGTGGTGCTTGCCACACCAGCCCCGTTGTGTGCTGTCGTCCATAACGGGTGCCCGCTAGCAGCACCTGCCCATCTTTTAAAGGCTATACAAGGGATCTCTGTGTGCATAATAGTGTGTGCGCGCGCGCGAGTGTGTTGCAGTGCAGTGTGTGCACGCACATGTGAGAGTGGTGTGAGGTGAGCGAGGTTCTCGTGCATGGGCCGTGCGTGCGGCGAGCGTGCGTGCGTTTGTGCCTTCGTTAATACGTGCGTGTATTTTTGCACAGGTGAGCGAGCATTACCGACCGCAGTGTGCTGACTGTTTTTTTTATCGTTTTTTTTTTTTGGATGTGGGGAAGGGTGGGGACAGTTCTGTCTTAGGAGCCCCGACCCTCAAATCCGGTCCCAATAAAAAATAATGCGGGGCAACGCAAGGGGGTGCCGTCGCCATCGCTGGTTGATGGCATTCGATCGCGAACGGCTGTTGCACACCGGCGCGGTTTACGCAAATCGCCGGCGGTGTTATGCGCGAGCGTGAACGTGGAAGCAGTGTTAAAAATTTTCGTTCGTAGGGTGGAGACCGCGTATTTTGTCGAGTCGACGTGCGAGGGTGGAGGAAGCGTGATGAGGACGCGTGAAGAGGAATGCAAAGAGCAGAGCCGTGGGGGGGGGGAGGGGGCGGTGGTGGGGCGTCTGCGTCGAGAGTGCGGGCGGCGATGCCGGACGACGGCCGTCGTACGGAAACGCCGCTTCGGTTGCGCTTGAGTGGCGCAGAGTTGAACTCCGCTTTGGGTTTCCCGGTCCCGTGACTCGTGGCGGCTGCATTGATTTGGAACGTGATGGCAAAAGGTCGGGTAAAGGTTTGTCAGTCCGGCAGTGCGATGTGGCTTGATGTGGCGTATGAGCGGGCCCACGTCTCGTGGTGCTATACAGCCATCGCGGGCTGATAAAGAACCCCCAAAATTAACATGCAGACCTATGACTCGTAGGAATCCCAAGAATCAGATACATAGACTGACACAAACACCCATAGACTTACATAGAGACCCATACATTTACATCGAAACCCTCAAGTGTGGATTTATATAGTGTATAAATGTTACCACGTCTCAAGATGGGGCAATGTTATATTGATGGAGTTGATGGAGGTAGTCGGTCATAGGCAGCGGAATACGGGGAAGGTCTTGCGCCTTGACTTGAGCTGGGGCGCGCATCAAAATCCAATGTTTACAATTTATTCAACTTATATGCAAACGGCAACCCTGCACGTCAATGGAGAGACATTGAGACAGCTGCGAGACGGACAAAACAAAGGAGTCTTTTTAAACACGATAAACGCAAACCATGTCTGGACAGCATCGTAGCCCTGAATCGATGACGATGACGACGATTACCAGTGTTGGGACTCCCACCAGAGCAGTTGTCCTGGGAAGCAGCGTGGACATTGTTGCTCCCTTCTGATAAAGAGAGCGCCAATGTCCGTGCACGCGCGTGCACACGCGTCGTCTGTTGAGTTGCTGAGGCCTTCCCCCTCGCTCACGCTCGGGCTTTAAGGCGGTGACACGGTCGAGCGGGAGTGCGTCCGTCGGTCGTTACCAAAGTGTGGGAAAGTCTGGAACGGAAGTCGCTCGAAAGGAACTCTGAGGTGGCTCTGTGGGATCTGCTTCCGTGAGCCATTGTTTAATGAATACTTAGTCCCATGAGGTACTACCATTGTCACAAAATTATTTCTGAGCTCTCCACTCATTTGTTCGGTTTTCATTCTCAAATCAAAATGGAGAGCTGGAAATACGACAACTTAGCAAGGACGGATTTTCTTTTTGTTCAGCAGATCCACCTAACACCATCAGGTCGGTCCACGTAAACAACAGTCTGCTCACAGACGGCTGAAACCAGCATTCAAACCCAGGTTCACGACGGTGCTGGTGCGCCGCTCGCTCGTGCCCCCCCCCCCTCTTGCCCAGCTCGACGATCCGTAGGTGATTGCGACAGTGCGCGCTAGCGCCAGTTTCAGTACCTGGGGGCGATCCGAACTCCCCGAACGGAACGTGACCACCTCTGACTTTTATCGCGTAAAATTCTGTCGCGGTGAATTTGAAGGCTCGTTTATTTAAAGGGACACGCGTTATAAAAAAGCAGCTTTTGTAAGTGAATATATTTTTTCCCACTGCATTTCAATTGTTTAGAAACGTGCTTAATTACTCCGTTGTAAAGGCATTTGCTAAAATGGGACGTCTATTTATCACTTGACTGACAAGGTGTCACCATCACCATTGACAAATGAAAAATGTTACACGAGCAGAAATATATATATAAAAAAAAACATTTACCTGTGTCATTAACGCAGCCTTGCAATGGACTCAAACTGGGTAAAGAGTTTTGAGATGCAGCTGCATTCAGATTCTATACAAATAGAAATCCTATAAATTATTTACACGTATATTTTAATTAAAACCTGTCTGAGACCACGACACGGCATCATTGGAGGGGTGGTGCCATCCCGTGGTTGACAGGGGCCCTGGTGCAAGGAATTAGTTGAGGGCCTCCGTACAATTTTGCTGCCTCGTCATCGTCCGGGCAGCTGGGGCCCCTTCTGGCACGTGGGGGGTGCAGTTGTACGGCCCGCACACTGGGTAGCTTCAGTTTTTTTATGTTAAATAATAGATTGACATTCCAGGCAGAGCAATAAGAGAGCGAGAGAGAGAGAGCGAGAAAACAGCATTCGTGATTATGATGACGATGGTGGTGGTGGCTTTATTTTCAGTCCGATTGCACTTGCATTCCAATGAGTTTTGTTTACCTTTTAACCCGTTCGCGCGTTAATAATTGTTATTTATGCTGAACTTTAAACCGGTTGAAACTTTGAAAAGTAGAGTGTTTATGGGGAGCAATAGAGGCTTTAGATCTGAAAGCCGAGAAAAATGCTCTGCAGAGTGCAGTTTGCTCCGAAGCGGTGTCTAATTTCTCACTCCGTATTTTTTCCGGAACGCTGCGAGGCTCCGAGTAGTTGCTTATAGGCATAAGGTACTACCGCTATACCACCAAGACACGCCTCTCCATAATACTATATTGTTGTACCATGTATTCCTATCATCCTGTGGGGACAAAGTAAGGTGAGATGGATGTGGCGTGACCATTTAAGCCGCGTTCCGGAATCTTCCGGCTGAGATTAAGCACTGCTTTTAAACCTCTGGTGTGTTTTTGTTGTTGTCATTGTTGCCAATGTATACAATTTATATTACTTTTTTGCGCGCTTCGCGGTTCCACTTGATGACGGTTTGCTATGAATGTGTGCAATCCACAGCAAACAATAAAAATACAAGCATCTTGTTTAAATGACACCGTGTTCATCATCCCCTTGCTGGCATTTCTCCCTCGTGGGCTCTAACGTCGTGCCCTGCCGTCTGTCCGGAGTCGTTTCGTGCGCGCGTTCACTGACGCGGAAACTTTTGCCCACATATAAAACCTCATTTGTATTGTTGCTGTTTTGGCTCAAACAGACGTTTGTTCAGTACAAATTATAAATAAACATGTTGCGTCTCGTGGAGTAAAACTAAATCCGATGATTGGATCTGTGGTACCATCAGTACCTGGTCTGGACCTCCCCGAGATCAACTTAGCCATAAATGGGTAAATGTTAGATGAGTAACTTGGTAGGGAATGTAGCGGTGGTGCAGTGGATAGGGCACTGCTATGAACTCGGCGACCTGGGTTTCAGAATCTTTATACTGGAGGAATCCGATGAGCTATGAAGCTCTTTCACAGATGTCCAGTAGTTTCTCATGTCCAGTAGGTGTAATACCTGGTTACAGATAACATCAGTGGCGTGCGAAATCTGAAACAGTTCCGAATACCCCCATAATCAACCCGATGGATAAAGTTCCGTGGCTTATTATTATTATGGTAGCAAGTAGGCGGCTTGTCAATAACTTGTTCTTATGCCATCTCGAATTGCTCTGCCATGACATGGCAACATCAAGACTCCTCCAAACTGATGTTCTGTTCTAATCAGCGTCGAGGCGCCGTGGCTCATTTCCCATTTATGGCCCCGAACCAGTAGTGGAAATTCCACATTCCTATGGCGGGGGGGGGGCGATGGTCCATCCATAGGACAACCACTATTCACTTCCCCACCAAGTGATAATTGTTTCATGGGCCGAGTCATCTATACCATATACGTTAAACAAACTCTTTGGTTCAATTTGAGTTGTATCTGCGGTGATTGCTACATCGGGGAGACAAAGTGACATGTCTCTGACCAAATTCGCGAGCACAAATCAGATTTGAAACACGGCAGAACGAATTCTTCTGCCGTAGCTGATCACTGTTACAACACTGTGGGTGATCACGATATCATTTTCTCCGATACCAAGGTTCTTTGCAAACCCACGGGCTTTTATCAGAGATTTGTTCACGAGGCAATTCAGATATACAAACACAGACACAATTTCAACCGAGAAAATGGTTTCAAATTAAGCAACCATTGGAAAGATGTTCTAAATCGAACCAAACATTAAACTAATTTTCAATGGTACAGTATATTTTTCAAGTAGTGGTACCCCAAACTTTCGCAGCTCTTAAAAAAAATCCCTTTTCACACCATCAATAGGTAAACTCCCCCTCCCCCCCTCGCATGTTCACCCGCATGTTCACCACCTCTACACCGTTCATCATGCTAAGTCGGCCAATCAAATGCTAATTTTTATGCTAATTCCTTTGTCAAGGCATCTTGTTTCCTCGCGCACAGCTTAAAGGTCGCGGTCTGAGCGTGGCTGTGTTCCACTCCAACGCTGTCCTCAAGACTGCCTGGTCCCTTCACCTGATGAAGGCCGCTTGTGTTGTGGCCGAAGCGTCGTGATTTTTGTTTAATTTTTTACCTACGTGACTTTACAGAATAAAACCAAAGAGTATGGATCCTTGCAGTCACGAAAGCTTTAAATCTAGAAACGTTAAACAAAGCCACATGTTGCCATTACATAATACAACAAAACAACTATTAACATTGGGATACAATCCTGTTGTCAGCAGTTCCAAATTCCGTTCGGCTCATCGTTCCGTTGACCCCCAGGCCGTGTCCGTTGCAGTGACGCGGGAACGCCCCTGAACATCCGAGCGTGGATTTGCCGCTTGCAATTTTGCCTCCTAACGCGTGCGCCTGTGTTTGCGTATCTGCGAGTGTGACCACGTGAGTGTGCCCGTTGGTGTGACCGTGTGCACGGCGTGTGACTTGTGTGGTTGTGTGTCAATGTGTACGCCTTTGTGCGTCTGCGTGACTTTGTGTTTGAGTGGAGCCGCAGCTGTCTGTGCGTGCAGGTAACTGTGTCTGTGTAAGTCTGTGCATCTGTCGCTGTCTTGCCTTTGTCTGTGTGTGTGTTTGGGGCTGTGCGTATGTTGCTGGGGAGCGGTAGTGTCGTGGTTAGCGCACTGTGCTACGAACCCGCGAACGCGAGTTCGATTCCCGCTCACGGCCAACACCAGTAGTGACGATTATCTAAACCGGTCCTGGGCCTCCCAGGACCGGTTTGGTGCTGGCCACCCACCCCCTCGTGCGCCGTGTCGGCCTTCATAGGTGCTCGCTAACAGCACTTGCCCCAACAGTCTGTTGAAGGCTATACGGGGGATTTTTGTCTTTATGTTGGGGAGCGATAGCGCAGTGGTTAGCGCACTGCACCGACGACACGAGTTGAATTCCAACATCAGTGACGAACATCTGAACGGGTACTAGGCCTCCCCTAGGTCGACTCAGCATTAAATGAGTACCCGGGACGGTGTGTGAACGTCAGCAGTGGGGAGACAAAGGCGGCCGGGCTTGGTGCTGGCCACCCACCCCCTCGTTTGCCGTGCGGACCTTCATAAGTGCTACACGCGAACAGCACTTGCCCCCAAGAGCTTGTTCAAGGCTATACGGGGTGTCTTTGTACGTGGTTCTGTGTGTGCGCGCGTTTGTGACTCGGCCCCTCTGTCGATGTTGTGTGTCAATCGCCCAGCTGATAGCGCGCAAAGTTGACCACACCCTACCCAAACGCAGCTGTATTTAGCCGCAAAAGCTTGCAGCGTCTCCTTTTTTGTGTGTGTGTGTGCGCGTATTTAACTCGTGTCGCGTTCGCCATCTCCGCTGCAGTCATCGGTGTCATGGATCCAATCGAGAGACGGATCGTCAACGCGTACCCAAACCCGCTGCCGTACAGGTGAGAGGGCACGCGGGCGGCCGATCTTTTCGGCTCCTTATTAAGAAACTGCTTTCGTGTCGTCATTTATTAAGGGCACCACCGTCTCGTCTTCACCACCACGGTGCAATTGCGGCTCTTGAAATACAGGGTGCTTCAAGAAAAAACGTTTTAACACTTATATGGGACTATCGTTTTTCATGGGAAAAGAACGGACAACACGCTGTAACATTTTTCGATTTAAAGCTTTCGTGACTGCAAGGATTCATCTTCTTTGGTTCTTTCGATAAAGTCACGTAGAATGAGAAAATAATAAATTGATAAAATAAAATAACACAATAATATTCTCACGACGTTTCGGCTACAACACAAGCGGCCTTCATCATTTTATTCTCATTCTACGTGACTTTACCGAAAGAACCAAAGAGGACGCTATAACATGCTAACAAATGTATGTTATAAGTTTCAAAAAGCCAAGAGTCTCCACTTGTTCGCCATCATTGTCAACGCGTGCCTGGAATCTTCTGCAGGTGTTCTCCAGAGGCAGCACATTTCTCGTGCCATTGTTGCAAATTCTCAGAAGTGTTAACGTTTTTTTTTCGTAGCACCCTGAATTTCACCGAATTATAAATTAATGGCTCTTGTTTTTGTTGTTGTTGTTGCCGACCCCTGGATGGGAGCAGTGATCATTCATCTCCATCGCAATCGAATAACACCGTGGTTTACGTCTCCACCTCTTAACGTCGTTTCGCAGATTCGTCGTCGTCGTCTTTATTATTATTATTATTAACACAGGGGCCCGATTTAGTGTCGCGTCAACCCCCACACCCCCACGTCTCTGCCAGCATCGTCACCGTCCGTCCCTTCTCCTTACCCGCCGCCTCTCAGCCTACACCACCCACCTGCCGCTCCCCCCGTTCTATTGCCGTTAAGGGCTGAACCCCATTCTTGTTTTTCATACGTTGATACTGGCGACAAGGTCCCGTGATACAGCTGCTCACCGCGAGCTATGAGCGCTCTGACACGTGTGGCGTTGTCTTTGTCCGGTTCGCCTCTTGGCGTTGTTCTCTGCTCTGACACTGGTGGTGAGACAGCGACCATGAAGAAGGCCGCTGTCTCTGGTGTAGGACAATCAGTTTCAAAGACCATGCATCATTTATTATCAGAGTAAGTTCGTGTGCATGTTCACCACAAGGGCTGCGTGTGGTTAATGCAGTTACTTGATTACTCGCAATTCCTGTTGGATTGCCAGCAAGGGTAAACGCCTCTTATTATATTATAATATTATAACATTATTATATTTCATACTGCCCCCCTTGTGAAACCGCTTCCATTGACGTCCTTTGCGATATTCGTCGTGGCACCTTTCAGGAACGCACCCCCGATAATATAATAATGCAATATGAGCAGAACTCCATTCTCTGTCGCCAAATATAAATAACAAATCATTATGATTATATCTAGCCCACCGGCCTATGTATTTGCTTTCCAGACCAAATATTACAATGATGCAGCATTTGATTAAACAAGCAAGCAGAACTCTGTCTCCTCATTAGCAGAGTCCTTCATGAAATGATGATCGTGTGAATGTGTGTCCGCGTGTCTTGAAGACAGTGCCCGAACGCACGTGGAGGTGACACATGACGCAGTGCGCACATGCACGAAATACAGCTGCACGTGCTTAAGGCTTTCCCAATGCATGTAATATACAGTGTGTTGAACTTCTTTCGCACCGTACGCAGCCAACCACGCTACCAGGAGATGCGATCGGCACGGTTGTATACTGCACATAACGGTATTCCAGTGATAAACCATTTCAGGTCTTAATTGATTGTTCACGCTTACGGTGGCTTTCAGACCGCATCCATTATTTTCGTCTCCCCCCTCCTCTTTTCCGAACATAGATGGACTCGGTCCATCTGAACAAACTGTCAAATCGCTCTCCGTGGTGCTAACGTTAAAAAAACCCGCCACTTTTTTCAAAATTTTCTTGCCGTGGTTTTCACACCTGATGATGATTGCTTGTGTTGCAGTCGAAACGTCGTGATAATTGTATTGTTTTATATTTTTATTATTTTATTGTTTCCCTTCCACGTGATTTTACCGAAAGAACCAAGAATATGGTATTCCAGTGTATTTAGTCATCATCATTATGATCATCAGTCATGATCAATCCACTGCTGGCTGAAGGAAGCCCCCCTCCCCGTCGACCGTCGATCTTGCAATGCAACAATCCACCTTAGCCCCACCCCCCTCCCCCCCCCCGGTGGAATTCATGGCTCCATCTCCGCGGCGGACGTTCCTCGTGTCGGGCGCCTTCCTCCTTCCGCGCCAGCAAGCGCACGCGGAGGAACGCCTTGAGCCCGGGACTCGGAAGTGGCCTAGACAATGAGAGCAGCAGAGGAAAAGGAGCGATGGCAAATGCGTGGTTGTGCTTCCCCCCTTACCCCACCCCCTAACGACAGCCAGGCGGTGCAGGCCGGCCGCACGCTCTACGTGTCCGGCCAGGTCGGGTTGGAGCCCGGGTCGGGGTTGTTGGTCCACGGCGGGACGGGCGCACAAGCACGACAGGTTCGTCACGTGTGACGTGTGTTCGTCACGTGTGACGTGTGTTCGTCACGTGTGACGTGTGTTCGTCACGTGTGACGTGTGTTCGTCACGTGTGACGTGTGTTCGTCACGTGTGACGTGTGTTCGTCACGCGTGTTCGTACGCGCTACCCACCGTCGTGATATAATCAGCCGACATCTGCGGTGATGTTTCCGTAACTACATTTTACAATTAATGTAAATATATATTTTTTATTGTGAACGTAATTTGAGGCGGCTCGGAGGTCAGCGGCGCTGAGCCGACGCCGCTTGAGTATCTGGGTTCGACTCCAGGTTCTCCGCTGAGCCCGTGGTTAAACCACGATGTCAAGCGAAATGGCGAGTTTGGCGATCGATGTTTTCGGCCCGATCACCGTTGACTGCACAAAAACTACATTTGGCTTTGCAGGATGTGTGGCGAAATCCCACCTCGGTGAGCATTAGGGCTCTCCGTTCGAGTGGCGTGCGCCGAAGATGTTACTCGCTGCATTAGGGTGCATGGGAATGCATGTGTATGTTCAAATTCTTCCGCACCGCACGTATCGTAACCGTGATAATCGAAGGTGCTGCCCCCTCGTGTGAAAAAGAGGTCACTTGTGAGGTGGTCTCAGAAGTAGTTCTGTAATTTCTCGTTCTGCGGGCAGCTCTGTCTAACCCGAATGGAGTCCGGTGTCGCCAAGGGCACCCTCCTGGGAAAACATACCATCAAAAGATAACAATTTCATGATATGTTTACTTAATTACACCGTTAGTCCCGACTGGACATCTGTGAAAAGAGCTTTATAGCTCATCGGATTCCTCCTGCAGCCTAAAAAAGGATTCAATTTTGTAGCGGGTAGCGCACTGCACGCGAGTTCGATACCATCTCACGGCCAGCACCAGTGACGATTATATGCGCCGGCCCCTGGGCATCCCCTAGGTAGACTCAGCCTCAAGTGACCGTCTGGTGCAACGTGTAAACATCGCCACTTGGGAGACAAAGGCGTGGTTGCTGGCGACCGTTTTCGTTTTCCGTGACGGCCTTAATAGGCACTCGCCGACAGCACTTGCCCCGACGGTCCGTTAAGGCTATACGGGGGATCTGTATCGTTTGTCTTTGTGTGTGACATGTGTGACGTGTGTGACATGTGTGACGTGTGCGACGTGTGCGACGTGTGTGACGTGTGTGGCGCGTGTGACGTGTGTGACGTGTGTGGCGTGTGTGACGTGTGTGGCGTGTGTGACGTGTGTGACGTGTGCGACGTGTGTGACGTGTGCGACGTGTGCGACGTGTGTGACGTCTGTGACGTGTGTGATGTGTGTGGCGTGTGTGACGTGCGCAGGCATTGAAGAACATTGGAATGATCCTTAAAGGCGCAAATTGCGACTACAAAAACGGTGATCACGTGTGCGGCTACGTGCAGTCCCGTTTACACCCCGAGTCATGAGCCGAGTGGCCGTGGACACGCCGCTGCACGTGGCTGCTGTCCGTAACCCAGCCCCGTGGAGGCAGCGGCGAGGGGTTGGTGGATCACCGGTGCCGTGCCATGGCCCCCCACGGGGGGATAGAGCGGCGGTCTTCATCGCAAGGCCCGCGGGTCACTGGCGGGCCCTGGTGGCCTTTCATGCGGCCCCTGACGTGCGCCCCCCCCGACAATACACAAAATAAAGTGATCACACCCCCCATCATCATCATCATCTTCGTCGTGTTGCTGCCAAACCCCCAATTGTTTCAAATGTGTGGCGGCCCTCACGCTGATGATGCCTTATCCGTGAAAGTGCCCCACCCCCCTACCACCTCCTCTGAAAATAATGAAGAACACGGGGATTGAGTGTTGTCCCCTCGCACGCGTGGATTTTTCTCCGGGTCCTCCGGTCTTTCCCGCCACATTTACAAACACGCGTTCAAGAGTATTTGGCTGCTATAAATTTCCAAGTGATGGGCAACTTCGTTGAGCTGTCATTTGTGGCCAGGTCGCCTCTGGAAAAGAGTTCAGTGGGGTTAACTTGGTTTAAAAAAAAGTGTTTTAATCGTTTATAGAAATTACACGACGAGACAGAAAGAGGAACACCTGCATGAGAGAACAAACGCGTCTCATTGAGCGTTAGTAAAAGTAAGTGCCTGGGCTGGGCCAGGGCTCGTCATGGCTCGATGTGTGGAAGGGCAGGGGGGGGGGGGTGATTGTCAGTGGTCGAAACTCACGATGGAGTGGCAGCCAGAGGGAGGGGAACGAACCCGAGAGGGGAACGAATCCGAGAGGGGAACGTCCGACACGGAGCGACGCAAGCGGCTCGCCGGAACGGGTCCGTGCGAGACGGCGACGGCTCGGGGAAGCCTTCAGTCCAGCAGTGGATAGGGAACGTCTGCCGCCCATGATAGACCTTTGATGGCTCTTCTCGTTTGCAGTGGTCAAGACCACCGTGCTGCTTGCCGACATGAAGGACTTCTCCGCCGTAAATGAAGCCTACGCCGAGTGTGAGTGGCTGCAGTGGGGACTCGGGCACGGCCTGCGGCACGTGGCCAAACCGCCCGGAGCGCGCCCTCGCCTCGGATTTCCGAGGCTACGGAGGGCTGAGCCTGCGTGGCTGGACTCTACTTTGTTTGTATCAAAGGGGGCGCCGCGTTGGCTAGGAGATGTTAACTGCCTCGCCTGGTCTGCAGGAGGTCGGGGGTTCGATTCCAACCCTGACGCCTGCTGTATATTTGGAGTTTGCGGTGTCTCTCTCGCCGTGGTTGCGTGGATCTTTTTTCTCCGGCTCCAAACCTAGAAACATGCATCTATGTTACCCATAATAGAGGATTTTGGGTTAGATCGCGTAAATATAAAAGTGTGGTTAAACCCGCCACCACCCGGCACAGCCAATTAGTAAGGTTTGTCACGTAAACGGAACATGTCAATTCGTTACCAGTACAGCACACCGGTGTTTCGCAGAGTAAATCAAGTAACGAATTGCCATGTTCTGTTTACGTGACAAACCTCACTAATCGGCTGTGTCGGGTGGTGGCAGGTTTAACGACACATTTATATTCACCCGATATAACCCAAAAAACCTCTTATAGATAATATTGGTCGCGAAACCCTGCTACAACGTGTTCAATGCGTCTATATTATTTAGATTATTTTGCTGCTAGAAATGTCCACGTGATTTGTGGCCAGGTCGCTTGTGAAAAAGAAGCTCGTAGCTCAGTGGGCTTTGCCTGGTAAGATTTAAAAACAGTTAAGTTTTATTTGTATACATTTTAAACGATTTGTTTACCTTTCTTATACTTTTCACTCCTATCGTGATTTCGTATTGTTTGATGTTGTAACGTTCTGACCCCGTGCCCCGACTATACATCTGTGAAAAAGAGCTTTATAGCTCACCGGATTCCTCCTGCGGTATAAACAGAGATTCTGATTCTCCAAGGTCGTGCGGTGCCAGCGGCTTCACTGCTGCACGTAGGCTGCCTTTAATCCGGTGCTGTGGAGGCGGCAGCAGCAGCGAGGGTTGGTGAAGCTCCCTTCCCATGGGCGCCGTGGAGCTAAGCCCTGGCTTTCCAGAAGGCAGTACAGCAAATACGCGGGCTCCACCTGTTCCGTCCCTATGGGATAAAGTGTTTCCCCCTCGCACGCGTGGGGGTTTCTCCAGGTGCTCCGGTTTCCTTCCATGCGTAAACGCACATGAAATGTCCGATAACACCGCAATACACAGAGGATCGCAGAGCTCGGGGTAATTGTTGGCGCCGGCTGCTCGCCGCCGCGTGGCTGCTGCTGCTGCCTTCCCGCTCCTCGTCTGTGGTTACTCCTCCGAGTCGCCCCCCCCGCCTCTCTCTCCGTCTCTCTCTCTATGAGAGCGAGGGAATCCCGTGCGGGGGGTGTAGCTGTGTTACAAGTTGACGTTATTACTGATTGTTGTTACAGGATGGGCAGCAGAATGCATTGCATCAAAATCACTTGTTGTACTGTACTATCCTCCCTCGTCCATGCTCCCCGCCTTCACCGACCGGCGCGAGGTCTGGTCAAACGACTCATCCGGCAGTGGAGTGACACGGGGGCTGTCTGCGTGAACGCGTCGTTTGTGATGTAGTTAATCTCTCTCCCTCTCTCTCTCCCTCTCTCTCCCCCCGCCGTGTGATCATGTCCCCAGTTTTCTCATCCAGATTCCCAGCTCGGGCGGCCTATCAGGTGATGGCGCTGCCCCGGGTACGTTGACAGTGATGAGATACGATGTAGGTAGGCAGGCAGGCAATATTGTCTGCGTCATATACACTATGTCCCGTGTCTCACCCAAAACGTATTTTTCTTACACAATCCTTCAGCCCGACTGCCTTCCGCGATTGCGTAGTTTCAGCGGCGGCGTCGATTCAGCACGGGCAAACCGTGGACCGGGTTTTGACGCACGGCGACTCATCAGCAGTGCCAGGCTTGCTTGAACGGGTTTTCATCCGTGTTCGTACAACAACAGCGTGGAGTTACAGCGCTCATGGCCTCGTCTCTAGGCGCTGTGTACAGCCGGGGATGTTCATTGTGTAGAGATGCGTTCAGTTGTAGGCCTCTTTGTGAGTCTGTGGGTCTCGATGTGAGTCTATGGATATGTGTGTGAGTCTATTGGTCTCTGTGTGAGTCTATGATGGGTCTCTATGTGAGTCTATGGGTCTGTCTCTGTGAGTGTATGGATATGTGTGTGAGTCTATTGGTCTCTGTGTGAGTCTATAATGGGTCTCTATGTGAGTCTATGGGTCTCCTTTGTGAGTCTATGCATCTGTATGTGAGCCTATGGGTCTGTCTCTATGTGAGTCTGGATATTTGTGTCAGGCTATTGGTCTTTATGTGAGTCTGTAGGTGTCTATTTGAGTTCATGGGTCTCCATGTAAGTCTATGGGTCTGTCTCTATGTGAGTCTATGGGTCTGTCTCTGTGAGTGTATGGATATGTGTATGAATCTATTGGTCCCTGTGTGAATCTATGATGGGTCTATATGTGAGTCTATGGGTCTCCTTTGTGAGTCTATGCATCTGTATGTGAGTCTATGGGTCTGTCTCTATGCGAGTCTGAATATTTGTGTCAGGCTATTGGTCTTTATGTGAGTCTGTAGGTGTCTATTTGAGTTCATGGGTCTCCATGTAAGTCTATGGGTCTGTCTCTATGTGAGTATGAGTCTCTATGTGAGTCTACAGGTCTCTATGTGAGTCTATGGGTCTCTTCGTTGTGAGTCTATACAATGCGATGTGGATGTATGTACCGTGGTGTCTAAATGCGACTGAATCTCAACTGAAATGACGCTGGGCTGACGGTGTTTGCGCTGTTGCAGGGGGCGAGTGTGGAAATTGAGGCAGTGGCCGTGTTGGGACCCATCTCAGAAGCCTAAACAACATCAACAACAGCAACAACAACACGTATATTTTAATGAAATCTCCAAGCCTGTACAGTCTGATTGTATCAATCAACCCGTGCCATCTGCGAGAGCCAATTGTGAGTCATTATTGCGCTTGCATGGACTTCAGCATAATTACCCCGGGATCACGATGTGCTCTCATCAGTTGTGATTGAACTGCCGACGATGCCGTCCTGAGAGTGGCTGATGTAACATTTCTGTGGCCTGGCGAATAAAAGCAACGAGTGGACAGGGACGAGGGCTCTGCTGTTTCTCCACGAGGTTTTTTTTAAGGTTAGATCGCGTAAATATATTAATGTGTCGTTAAAACCCGCCACCACCCGACACAGCCAACTAGTAAGGGTTGTCACGCAAACAGAACATGCCAATTCGTCACTAGTACAGCACACTAGATCTGGCTGTGGCCTGATGAAGCTGGTTGTATTTACTGCAAGTGGTTACGTGATGACGACGACGACGATGAACCTCTCTGCTGTGACAAGACACCTCGCTTTGGTGCCACATTAGCCCAGGAACAAATGTAACTTTCGACCGATGTAACTTTGACCCTGCAAATTGCCTCTATTCCGACCCCGAGCCGTGGGGCGAGACGCCTTCGTAGCGTCAATAAAACGGCCTCCGTCCGTACCACGATGTGCGATGGAAATGAGACTTTGAAAAAACACTCTTGACAATTTGTATTTTTCAGCGCATCCGTACGCCGCCGCGTGATGCTGAGAGAATATCCCAACAGCCAAATGTTTGTTATACCCCCCCGCCCGCCCGCACGTGTGAGAGTGTGCAGTGTTGTATCAGCTCGGTGCAAATTTATTGACGGCGGGGGGATAAATCAGAGGTATTACTTTAGGGGTATTCTTCCTAGAGAGTCTACAGAGTTGTTGGTGTTGACACGAGCTGTTGGCGTGTCGCAATGCAATGCAATCTAAACAAATTGTCCGGGCCTGCTGAAGACACGCATACACACACACACACTCGTATATATCGCCTAATGCGTTAAAATCTCAACTCTTAATTTCCGATCAACCACGACCTATTAATAACGATCGCCATTTAAGTTAAATTGAAGTCATATCATAAAACAATCTTTTTTTTTTCTTCTATTTAAAACCGCGCGACGTACTCACGCACGGGTGCCAATCGCGGCACCGTCAGCGGACTGACTTCTCGCGAGAACGATTCCAGATCATTTCCCCGGGTGCCTCCGCTTGGGTTCCCAATTCCACCAGAGCGGTCATTCGGAGAAGCTTCCCCGCTCGCATTTTGAGCGTCGACCGTCGCACCACCGCACCTCACGCGGCGACGCAGCAGGGACAACGCCGTCCCGCAGCAACGCACACGCCACCCAAACAAATGAAATCAACAATTGGCGATTTGGCCAAACGTCTCGAGGCAGGACCCTCCCGAAAGCGGTTTTGAGACCCGATGAGGCTTTCCCTTGCGAAGTCAAGAGGTCGTCTCGGCCAGTTGTCACCGACGCGAGGACTCCCCGCATCGGTGACTTCCCACAGCTGACCTACAGAGTTTGACTTTGCAGTCTCATTACCACCACCGGCTTTAGATCTTCCCGACCCCTTGGTAGCTGACCTCTGGGTGTCACTCCAGTGTCCAATCTCGGTAGACAACCCTCGAAAGACAAAGATCCCCCCGTATAGCCTTAACATACTCTTGGGGCAAGTGCTGTTAGCTGTTAGCGAGCACCTTATGAAGGCCGGCACGGCACACGAGAGGATGGGTGGCCAGCACCAAGCCCGGACGCCTTTGTCTCCCTAGTAGCGATGTTTACACAGCGCCAGGTACTAACTTGAGGCTGAGTCAACCTTGGGGAGGGGCCCAGAACGAGTTCAGCTCCTCGTCACTGGTGTTGGCCGTGAGCGGCAATCGAACTCGGGTCGCCGGGTTCGCAGCGCAGCGCGCTAACCGCTGCGCCACCGCTCGCCTCACTTCTCCTGGCCTCCTCCACCCTGCACGCATGTCCCATCCATCACAATCTCCTCTTCCTCCTGATTACATCTACGACGCTGTGGTACCACCACCTATTTCCCCACCTCCAAGATGATGACCCTATCCTCCACCCTGGACACGTGCCCCATCCATCCATCACAACCTCCTCCTGATTACGTCCGTGGAACTTTCTTGCCACGTTCTGCTACCAACTTTTGCCCTACTATATAGTTCGAGCGTCCTCCACATAGATGGACATGATTATATTTGAAAATCTATCGTTGGCGTGAGTTTGACGGCCGTTGTGTGCAGACAAAAAGGACCCCATACGTACACGTGTGACTTAGAGTCCGGGTTGATGGTCAGGATTAAGTTTGAAAAATAACAATAATAGCCATCTACAGTCCTTTATAAATCCACTGCTGGATGAAGCCCCTTGTTCCAAATCTTTCGGCCATGGAGGTTGTTTGACCATACATCACCACACTGGTCACTGCGGGTTTGGGAAGTGGTGAGCCTAGAACTAGCACCGATGTCACTCACCATGGACGTTATCTGTGGCCAGGAATCAAAATCATGTGGTCGGGTTCATAGCGCAGTGCACTAACCACGGCGCCACTACTCCCCCACATCGTTGGTTAAACTGACCAGCAGTTCAGATGCAGGGAGAGTACCCGATTTAAAAACTCAACTGGGAATGAGTATTATTGGTTCTTTCAGTAAAGTCACATTCAACGTGACTTTACCGAAAGAACCAAGAATATGAATCACTGCAGTCACGAAAGCTTTAAATCAAAATTGGGAATGAGTAGTTTGAAAAATTGCATTCAAATGACTATACCATCGATACGAATGGCTCATTACTTCTATCAGAAATGTTACATTTGATTCACTGGCATTTCACTTAAAGCTTTTGGCTGATAGGCCTCTAAGAATTGCATTATGGGTAGTCCATAGCATGGGAGACTTGGATGCGTTTCGTCTTCATAAAATCTGGCCACGGTGGCGAAATGTTAACTACCTCGCCTAGTAGGCAGGAGGTCGGGGGTTCGATCCCCACCCTGACGTCTCTCTCCCCGTGGTCGCGTGATTTTTCTACGTATCCATCCGGTTTTTGCCCTCTAAATTGAGAATCAACATCACGCGTTGAGAGTATTTGGCTGCTATAAATGTCCACGTGATAAGCCACTGCGTCGAGCTATCAATTTGTGGCAGCCAGGCTGCATAGCTCAGCCGGGGCCTTACCTGGTAAAATAAGCGATAGTTTAATGCACGCAATCCCGTCGGGTTTTTCTCCCCTGCTTAATGCGTGGATTGGCGAACACCATGCATAACAGGTGCTATAGGCTGCAAGAGGGGGGGGGGCTATATTGTGGGCAGCGGAGGGGAGAGGAGCAGAAATCGATTGTTGTACTGTAGCATGCTCCGACATCTGCGCTCCCACGCCTTCAACCCACAGAGACCAGTGTGGTGAAGTATGGTCACACAGCCCCCACGACCCGGCACGGCGTGGGGCGATGTCTTCATCCAGCAGTGGATTTACATACCAGCGTACCTGTCAACCCACACGGCTCACCTCGTGTTCTTGTACAGGGAAATTGAGTTTTCAGGGCCATATGGCATACAGCCGTTTCAATACGAGCAAAAAAAGTACTTGATTTGTTTGTAACTTGATTTTAAGCTTTCGTGACTGCAGGAATTACTCTTTGGTTCTTTCGGTAAAGTCACGTAGAAAGACAATACATTTAATAATCGAGTACGACGTTTCGATTGCAACACAAGCAACCGTCATCAGGTAGAACTAAATTTGAGAGAAATTTGTTTGTGTTTCTCCGTTGTGATGGGACTTTGTAGGATGGACGTTGAGATTTATAAGGGGCACGGGGTGACCAATAAGATCTGAATTTGTATGTAATAAGGTAGGGCACTGATAAGGGGTTGACAGGTATGTAAGTACCAGACTGTACGCGTTTCGCTAAAGCATCTGCTCACTCACCCATTCCTCAACGCCACACGGGGAGTCACTGCTGATGGAACGACGACGACGACGCCTTTACATGGAATTCACATCGCGGAGTAAATGCCTGCACGTCGACTACGGTTACTCATGACGAGCGTTCAGCATAAATGGAACACGCGAACACACGAACACACGCTGCGTGTAAAAACCGCAATTTACACTCACTAGCGTTCCAATGACGAATGTTAACAATAATCATTTCAACTTGGAACGCGCCAAATGCTACCTCCCCCCCCCCCCCCACACACACACACCGTCAGTCCCTCCAAGCTCTGCGGTCCTTTATGTATGAAGTTGTTATTTGGCCAATTAATGAGCGCTTGTGTGTAGGAGGAAACGGGAGCGCCTGGAGACTGGCTACAGTGTTTTGTATTGCTCGCTGTAAGTGCTGATGTTGGTCGCGAAGGCCGACGTGTTAAACTAAGTGCTGTTTTATCTCACTAAAACGGTTCGGATAATTAACTACGACATTTTTTTTTATTCCCAGGTGCAAGATTCTAAATTCGTCCTCCCCCCCGCCCCCGCCGTACCCACACCGATTCACATTCTAATTCTATTCAAGGCGATAGGCATTTCGAGTTGGGGCCCACGTGACATAGATCTGGCCAAATGTGTGTCGTGTAACCCTCCTCCTGCGCCGCCGCCGCCGCGTGACGGATCCAAACGAATCGAATCGTGGCGCGCGGGGGCTGTGCGAGCGTTTTACCGGGGAACGCTCCCCGCAACGCCTGCGACCTCGCGCTTGTGACGCGGCGAGCGACAACGGGAGGCGAAGGTTCGTGGGGAGCACGTGGCAAATACCGTCAAATCGCAGACGGTTCGTAGCAACGAGCGTTAATAAAAAAAACAGAGAGACGTGATCTCCTAACACGTAATTGAAAACGCAGTGGGTGTCCGTTGCGGGCAGCGATGCGGGGTCACGCCCGGCCTTCGCTTCCTTCCCCGTGCCCAGCGCCGCTCGACGTCATCCTATTCAGCGTCCGGTGCCGATGGCGCTGTGGTGGACAGAAAAATGGGGGGGGGGAGAACAAACATAGGACGAAGTTGTTATTGTTGATTTATTTATTCATTTGATTGTTTGTCTTACCGAGGAAGCTTTCGCGGTTGTTGCTCTGCAGATGTCCGCTGCGTTTTCGGGAGGTACCCTGTATTAGTTAGACACGGTGTCCGACGTTTCCTTCCACATTTCAGAAGCTTTTTCAGGAGGTGGCTCACTTCAGTCCCTGGAGGAAGCTGTCAGCGCGTGGATTCGGTAACAACCCGGATCCACATAGCCGCACCTCCTATGAACAAGGTTGACTACGTACGGTGCAAAGGAAGTTCAACATACATACATACATAGCTGTGGCCCGGTATCGAACTGGAACTCAGGTGGCCGGATGCGTCGCGCAGTGTGCGCCTAGCCACGCGTAAGTACAAATACAAAGCTACCCCAAGCAGCTATGTGCACTGTTGGGGACAAGTGCTGTTGGTGAGCACCGATGGGAACACGCACGGGGCACGTGACCTCTTCAGGGATTGGAGACCCTTCGTCCCCCCCCCGTCCCCAGGTCCGCGCGTGGCCCTGAAGTGCCACCGCTGGGATTATTGCGGCGACTCTACCTGTGAAGATTCGACTGACGAACTTTCAGAGATACGAACAAACTTGGTCCGTGTGTCCAGTTGCCTGTTGGGACCGAGAGTCGTAAGTTCAACCCCCGTCAATGGATTGCGGTGCTGGCGTTTACATTTGTAGAACGTGAAGAACCAGTGGCATCTGCATCTGAAGAACGTGAACAACCAGTGGCATCTGCATCTGAAGAATGTGAAAAACCAGTGGCATCTACATATCCAGAACGTGAAGAACCAGTGGCATTTGCATCTGCAGAACGTGAACAACCAGTGGCATCTACATCTGCAGAACGTGAACAACCAGTGGCATCTACATCTGCAGAACATGAAGAACCAGTGGCATCTACATCTACAGAACGTGAGCAACCAGTCGTATCTACAACCAGTCGTATCTACATCTACAGGAGATTATACAACGTTTAAAGTCATTCCTCGTGTTTAGTGTACATGCCGTAACAACGTGTTTGAAATCGACAGGAGTAAAGTTGGACTTACGAACAAATCGACTTACGAACAGACCTCTGGAACATAACTCGTTCGTAAGTAGAGGAGTGCCTGTATAGAGGACCTCGACTCCGAGAGCACCGTGAGCCGTTTCTCGTCTTCTTTTGTGCGTCGTATTTACGGTCGCCGCCGGCTATTCATTCGCCCTGTTGTTGTTTTTGTTGTGTGCGTTTCCACCAACAGCTCTAATTTCCGAATCACGTTCCGATTCCGTCACGATTTGCATAACACGTAAGTAGACTTTCGCGACCAATATTATCCAAAATAAAGGCTTTTGTTGGGGGGGTGGGGGGGGGGGGGTGTTAGATCGCGTAAATATAAATGTGTTATAGTAATAGTAAGGGTTTTCCCCTTTTTAATGACGCCTTTTGGCGTCATCTGGTCGAGCACCAATTGGGTGGAGGCTCAAAAGAAAGCCGTCCCTTGGTGTGGACCAATCAGTTTCAAGGACAACGCAAATATTATCATAGTATGTTTTTTGTTTGCATTTTGACTGAAGGTGTTGTGGTTAATGCAGACATGAATCCTTGTAAAAAGGTTTCAGTTTTGTTTCCAGAAAAAAGGGGAAAACCCTATTATTACATTTTAGTACTGGCAAAGGAGGTCTAATGATGAAGATATAAATGTGTTGTAAAAATAAATATGAAGTTGACTCAGTCTGCCCGTCATAGACAGAGAGAATACATTTTTTATGGTCTTGCTTGGGCCTGAATTTGAACGGAGACAGGAAGTCGACAGCACGGACGACGGTGAGCAGCATACGAGAATGAGCGACCTCCCACTGAGCTGCGGGCTCGATAGCGCGCAGAGACGAGTCGAGTGGGATGAGAGGGGAGAGGTAGGAGAGTGGTGGAGGCGAGTGGAGTGAGATGAGAGGGGAGAGGTAAGAGAGTGCGTGGAGGGGAGTGGAGTGAGATGAGAGGGGAGAGGTAGGAGAGTGCGTGGAGGGGAGTGGAGTGAGATGAGAGGGAGAGGTAGGAGAGTACGTGGAGGGGAGTGGAGTGAGATGAGAGGGGAGAGGTAGGAGAGTGGTGGAGGGGAGTGGAGTGAGATGAGAGGTAGGAGAATGCGTGGAGGGGAGTGGAGTGAGATGAGAGGGAGAGGTAGGAGAGTGCGTGGAGGGGAGTAGAGTGAGATGAAAGGTAGGAGAGTGCGTGGAGGGGAGTGGAGTGAGATGAGAGGGGAGAATTAGTACAAGTGTGTGGTTTACTAGTTGGTTCGGGTTAAGGGTGTTGCGAGTTCCAATGTGTGGTTGGTTAGGGGTAGCCCTAGAAGTGTCCCGTTACCAAAGTTGTTTAGGGCCAAGGGATAGAGCTAGCACGAGTGCGTGTGGTTGCCTGAGCGGGTAGAGCGAGAGTGAAGTCCTCGCTCCGTGTAGCTCAGTGTCGCAAACTGCTTCCCCACCACCACCACCACCACGGCTCATCTCCCTGCCGCCCTCTGCCCTCTCCGTTTCGTTCCGCCGAATCGAGGGTGGGGACGAAGCGCGCGCGCGCGGCGACTCTTCGTGGTGGCGGTGGCGGCGGCTCCACGGACCGGCGGAGTCATCGCCGGGGGTCGTGGGGGTGGAGGGAAGGGGGTCGTGGGGGTGGAGGGAAGGGGGTCGTGACGGCGCACTCGCCTCGCGTGTCGGGTTACCCCCTTGGCGCCGTCGTCCCCCCCCACCACCCCCACGGCCACCCGGGTCGGGTGACGCCGCGTGCCGCGACGTCTGTCACCGTGGCGGGGTTGAGTCCCCTCCCCGCCCCCCCGTTGAGTTTGGTGGTGTTGGTTGTTGAGTTTGGTGGTGGTAGTGTTGGTTGTTGAGTTTGGTGGTAGTGGTTGTTGAGTTTGGTGGTGGTGGTTGTTGAGTTTGGTGGTGGTAGTGTTGGTTGTTGAGTTTGGTGGTGGTGTTGGTTGTTGAGGTTGGTGGTGGTAGTGTTGGTTGTTGAGTTTGGTGGTAGTGGTTGTTGAGTTTGGTGGTGGTGGTTGTTGAGTTTGGTGGTGGTAGTGTTGGTTGTTGAGTTTGGTGGTGGTGTTGGTTGTTGAGGTTGGTGGTGGTAGTGTTGGTTGTTGAGTTTGGTGGTAGTGGTTGTTGAGTTTGGTGGTGGTGGTTGTTGAGTTTGGTGGTGGTGGTAGTGTTGGTTTTTGAGTTTGGTGGTGGTAGTGTTGGTTGTTGAGTTTGGTGGTGGTGGTTGTTGAGTTTGGTGGTGGTGGTTGTTGAGTTTCGTGGTGGTGGTGGTTGTTGAGTTTGGTGGTGGTAGTGTTGGTTGTTGAGTTTGGTGGTGGTAGTGTTGGTTGTTGAGTTTGGTGGTGGTGGTTGTTGAGTTTGGTGGTGGTGGTAGTGTTGGTTGTTGAGTTTGGTGGTGGTAGTGTTGGTTGTTGAGTTTGGTGGTGGTGGTTGTTGAGTTTGGTGGTAGTGTTGGTTGTTGAGTTTGGTGGTGGTAGTGTTGGTTGTTGAGTTTGGTGGTGGTGGTTGTTGAGTTTGGTGGTGGTAGTGTTGGTTGTTGAGTTTGGTGGTGGTGGTTGTTGAGTTTGGTGGTGGTGGTTGTTGAGTTTGGTGGTGGTAGTGTTGGTTGTTGAGTTTGGTGGTGGTGGTGGTGGTTGTTGAGTTTGGTGGTGGTTGAGTTTGGTGGTGGTAGTGTTGGTTGTTGAGTTTGGTGGTGGTGGTTGTTGAGTTTGGTGGTGGTAGTGTTGGTTGTTGAGTTTGGTGGTGGTTGTTGAGTTTGGTGGTGGTGGTGGTTGTTGAGTTTGGTGGTGGTAGTGTTGGTTGTTGAGTTTGGTGGTGGTGTTGGTTGTTGAGTTTGGTGGTGGTAGTGTTGGTTGTTGAGTGTGGTGGTGGTGGTGGTGGCGGCGGCTGCTGAGTTGCCCGGAATGCGCCGTCGATTCTCGGATTTGCAACTTTCGCAGACTCGGGGAGGGTTGAGTGGGACCGGCCGGCGTGGTTGGTAGTAGTAGTGGTGATGGTGATGATGGTGATGATACAACGGAGGAGAAGACGATGAAGAATAATCATAGTTGACACTTCTAAAGCGCCTTTCACGCGGAGGTCACGAGGCGCTGTGTAAAACACACGACAAAGACAAAGACCCCACCCCGTGTAGCCTGTAACAGGCTGTAGGGGCAAGTGCTGTTAGCGAGGAGCACCTATTAAGGCCGGCACGGCACACGAGGGGGTGGGTGGCCAGCAGCACCACGCCCGGCCGCCTTTGTCTCCCCAATGGCGATGTTTACACACCGCATCTGGTATTCATTTGAGGCCGAGTCGACCTAGGTGAGGCCCAGAACCGGTTCAGATAATCGTCACTGGTGATGGACGTGAGCGGGAATCAATCTCAGGCCACCGGGTTTGTAGCGCAGCGTAGCGCTAACCGCTACACCACCGCTCCCCACCTCCAACACATACACAGACACGCAAGCTCCCACCAAATCAGATCCAACCCCAACAATAAACGATTCAAGAAATAATTAAAACATCCCTTAAAGCGAAGTTGCGACTTTGGGCGCGATTTGAATGAAGCGGAACGAACGTCGAGTGGACGTGAATTCCACAGCGTGGGTGGCACACGGGAAGAGTCTTGGCCACCACCACCACCCACCGTCCTACAGAGACGCGACCTCGACACACACAGAGGACTCGCCTCCGAGGATCGCAGTTCCCTTGCTGGAGCACGTGCATGAGGGTCATATACAGGACCTTCACGTGTCGTGTGCATTGCCCATCACGACTTCTCATTTGTACCGAGTTTCGTCTCGTTTATTTTGTGTCCGTCTCGTCCGTACCGTACCGCCCGTCTCGCCATCGTCTGTGCTGCGCGCTCCGTTTGCTCCGTCTCAGTTGTCCCGACCGTTGTTCAAAAGCGACCGCGTTTGCATTGCGATTCGCGTCGACCCGAAATAA